GACAGCGCACACTGCCTGGTGGACCCGCGTGGTGCTGCCCGCTGGGACCCTGAGCCTCCGGGAGGCTGGTCACAGCCAGGAAAACCCAGCGCCTCCCGTGCCCGCCCTGCGATGGCTCCCGCGCCAGTCCCCAGCGGGACACAGCGAGTTCCAGACGCAGCCTCGCTGTCACTGCCTTGCCTAAAGCCAGCTCAGCTCCTACCTGATTTGCTCATTAACTTTCCTTCCCTCCTGTGTGAACGTATTTAGTCTCCATAGCAACCACGCAGGAAGTTAACTGATGTCATCACCCCCGTTTTACAGTGGAGGAAACTGAGGCTCGGAGGGGTTCGTCGTAGCCCCATGTCGCACAGCAGGTGGGTAGGCGAGTGTGGGCCAGCCTGGGGGTTTCGGGGTGCGGCCCCCTCGAGCCCTAAGACGCCCGTTCGTCCCAACCTTTCTGAGGACCAGGATGCTGGGCGGCTGGCCGTCCGGGTTCGTCCTCTGATTTCTCCACGAAACCTTGGGACGCCAGATTTCCGAGGACGGGACGGCCGCAGTGGGGAGGATCTGAACCCGCGTCTCTGCCTGGGTCCCGGAAGCCCTGAGCTGAGCCGATTGCCCGGAGTGAGCGCCTGGGGTTCAGGCACTCGAGCCGCCCAATCCCGGGGTCTGGACCGGGGAGCGCAGCGGGCGATTAGGACTCACTCGCCCCCCGCCCGCCCCGCACCCCGTACGTGTCCACCTTGGCCATCCACAGTGATCCCATCTTGTGCAGCACCTCACAGAGCTCTTCACACACGCAGTCTTCTTACAGCTCAGGCACTGGGGTGAGAGGCGAAGCCCAAGGAGGAGAGCGACACAGAGCAAAGACTAACTCTCCCCTGCCTCGGGAGCCCCTGCGGGACACACGGAGATACACTGCTCTTGGCCCTACAGACTGTAAATGCTAAAAACTCACTTTCCCAGACGCCCTTGCGGCAAGCCAAGTCATGGGACATAAATCTGGCCAATGAGGTCAAAGCAAAAGAGTCCCAGGGAATGCTGGGACGGGTGTGTGATAGGTAAGGAGGCCCTTCCATGATGTGATGTCTAGCGCACAGCAGCTGTCTTGTGATGTGAGGGAAAGAGAGACCTGCAAAGTGTCAGACCCAGAGCCCTAGCATCTGCCTGCAGCTTCTCCTTTTGTGAGAGAAATAAACATCTACTGGCTTAAGGCCCTGTTAGTGGACATTTGTCACTTGCGCCAGAAACACTTGGAGTAATCCACTTGGATATCACTTTTTGAAATGTTTCATTAGTGCCTATTCATTTTACAAAATAATGGGGTTTTGGTTTGGACTACATGCATATATTTTCATCATCTGCATCGTCCTTTTACCCTCCTTTCTGCCCCTCATCCTTCATTTCTTTTCTTTTCTTTCTTTTTTTTTTTTTTGGTATTGGGGATCAAACTCGGGACCTGGCGCTTGCAAGGCAGACGCCGGAACCACTGAGCTAAATCCTTGGCACTCTTCCCTTATTTCTTTCCTCTTGTCTAGTAAGTGTCTCCCTCTTACTTTCCATGTTCCTCTTTTCTTAAGATTCCACATATTAGGGAAAGCATGGAACCCTGCCTTCCTGAGTCTGGCTTATTTTGCTTTACTTGACGATCTCCAGTTCCATCCATTCTCCTGCAATGACATAATCATGTTCTTCTTTATAGCTGAGTAATACTCCACTGTGTATAGACACCACACTGTCTTTATCCATTTATCTGTTGGATGGGCACCTGGCTGGTTCTGCATCTTGGCCGCCATGAGTTGTACTGCGATAAACATGGTTGTGCAGGTGTCCCCATAACACACTGGCTTTCCTTCCTTGGCATACACACCAGGCAGGGTACAGAAGGGAGTGTGGCAGTTCCATGCTTAGCTTTCTCAGGGACCTCCGTATAGATTTCCACAGTGGCTGCCCTGACTTCCATTCCCCCAGCAGTGTCAAGGGTCCCTTTCCCCCTGCACCCCTGCCAGTATTTATTGCTGTCTGTGTCCTTGGTGACAGCCATTCTGACTGGGCTGAGGTGAATGACCAGTGATTTGCATTTCTCTAGTGGCTAAAAAGGTTAACACGGGTGTTTCTGTGTCCTCTGTCCTGTTGCATGGGTCTATGTGTCTATTTTTGTGCCAATGCCTTGCTGTTCATGTTACTGTGGTCTATGGATCTGTATAGTTTGTAGTCTATGATGCAGTCTAGTTTGAAATTGGGTATTGTGAAGCCTCCAGCTTTGCTTTTTGCTTAGGATTTTTTTTTTTTTGAGGGCCTCACTGTGTAGTCCAGGCTGACCTCAAACTCGTGATAATCTTCCTGCCTCAGCCTCCCGAGTGCTGGGATCACAGGCGTGCGCCACCACATCTGACTTTGCTTAGGATTGATTTGGCTAGTCTGGGCCTTTTGTGTTTCCATGAGAAATTCAGGGCCATTCTTTGTAGTCCTGTGCAGACTGCCACAGGAGCTCTGATGAGCACTGTACTGAACCTGTGGATCATTCAAAGACTGTCACTGTGGTCACTCAGTGTCGATCCTGACGCCTGCACATGGTGGTGTCCCACCTTCTACCAGCATCTTCCACTTTGCTTTTCAGAGTTCTCTAATCTTCATTGCAGAGGTATTTCACCTGCTTGGTTAGGTTGATTCCTAGGTGATTTGTTCTTGGAAGCTATCGTGCATAGAATTGTTTTCTGATTTCTTTCTCGGCTAGTTCATTATTGGCCGAGAAAAGCTGCCATCTCTTCGTGTTGATTTGATGCCTCCTTGCTGACCAACTCCAGCCCGCCCCGCCCCACACCCGCATCACAGCGCGAGAAGCCAGCGACCGGGGCGGCTGTCCGCATGCGGGCAGCTCCCGAATGTTCCTGGGTCAGCGGTGCGAGGGTTCGTGTGCAGGAGTGTGCCACGCAGGCACCCCGTCATCAGCACCTTGCACCCGAGGCGCAGCTCCCAGGCCCAGCGCTGACAACCGCCACCCAGAGTCCGCGGTTTGCCCTGGGCCTGCGCCTAACGCGCACATGGCAGGGGTCTGGACAAAGAAAGATCCGACTTCATAGCTATGCCAGTAGCGAACCCACTTTCCGGGAGTTCCTGCTAAGCGGCTTGCCCTTCCCTTTGAGATACAGGGCCTCCACCTCCTAGTTTGGGGCCCTTCTGCTTCCGCCCATAGCACGCAGTTTGGGCGCTCACAAAACTTCCGGGGTCAGGGGGAAGCGGGAGCTGCTCCCAGGCATGGGCACCAGGGGGCGCACCTTAGCGCGGGCTTCGCTGCTTGGTGTCACCAACAGTGGAAAGGACCTTCCTGTGCGGACCCTTGCCACGCCCCAGGGTCTGCACTGGTGACGCCGGGTGTTTTCCAGAGTAGCCGCAGCAGCTCCCACCAGCAACAGAGATCGCCCGAGTTGCTCCCGGGCCTTTCTAAGGCATCAGCTCCTGAGACGGCCGACCTGCAGTCCCGCAGTCCGTGCACAAGGTGAAGGCCTAGTGAAACCAGTGCAGTTCTGGTTCGAAACCAAAGGCCTGGCCCAGCATGGTGGCACACACCTGCAATCCCACCACTGGGAGGCTGAGGCAGGAGGATGGCAAGCTGGAGCCGAGCCCGGCCAACTTGTGACTAAATGAGAACCTGTCTCAAAATAGAGCTGGGGGTGTAGTGCGGTGTAAAGGCCTTAGGTTCAGTCCCTAGTACTGGGAAAACAATAAAACAAACCCTCAAGGCCTGAGACAGAGGGTGGGAGAGTCCCCGCCTGTGTCCGAATGCCTGAGAACTGCAGGGTTACACCGCAGCGGAGCCCACCCTGCTGCTTGTGTTCTGTGGGGGTCATCAAGGCCTGGATGGCACCGAACCAGGGAAGGGTGGGTCACTGATGCCAGCCTCCTCCAGACACCCGGCACACGGCTTGCCAGCTGCCAGGCAGTCTGCACTGTTGCTGAGCAGCTCAGCACGCCCGACAACTAGGGCCCTGTGGGCAGAGGCCAGGCTGCTAGCGACGCAGGGCAGGTGATGAGGCGTGCAGTGCTCAGGGGCAGAGCAGGAGGGAGCCCAGGGTCTGCAGGGCCCAATTACCGGCCTCAGAAGCCCTCAGGGATTCTGGGCAGGGCAACCTGAGCAATGAAATGCTGGCGACAGCCCAGTGGTGTGGTGGCACACACCTGTAATTCTAGCACTCTGAGGCCGAGGCAGGAGGATCACAAGTTCTAGCCCAGCGCTGAGGCCCTGCCCAAGTCCGGTCCTCAGCACGCTGCACAGTTCTGGCTGTTGTGTAGAAGGCAGTGGGCAGAGGCAAGAGCGGCCAGGCAATGTGAGGACGCTGCAGATGGTGGCCGTGTAGACGCCAGTCTGATGGTGAGCTAAAGTGGTCAGGGCCCAGGCGCGACTCTACCGCCTCAAAGCTCCTGTCAGGGAAACAGGCGCAGGGTAGCAGGTGACCGGCTGGGTTCCAGCCCTGGCTCTGTCCTCAGAAACTCCCTGGGCAGCAACCTGTAGGCCTGGGCAATCGGCCACCCCCTCCCCCAGGCCTGTAAGAGGCACCACGTGCTGCAGGCCCAGCACCCCACTCCCAGAGGCAGGACGTCACCGGGTGTGAAGGAGGCACAGCTCGGGGCGGGGGGGGGGGGGCTGGGGCTGGGAAGACTCGATGCACAGATCTGAGAGTGGCGGGCAACCTCTCTGCATTTCACTGCCTGCACACACCTCACTACTGCCAGGGGCTGGGGCTGGGGCTGGGCCCGGGCCCAGGCCCGGCCGTCCACACCGCAGACCCAGTCCTCTCAGTACTACGGGGGAGAAAGGACCCCACACGACCGGGGGACTCCGTGGGGAAGCGGGAGACGCTGGTGCTGGGGTCTCGCTCCCGAGACTAGGTCAGCTGGGTCACATGGGGCAGCCGAGGGGTCATCCCAACTCCACTAAGGACCCGGGCAGCCCGGCAGCTGCCGTCAGCACAAAGACCGCAAGACCCCGACCCTCCTCACGAAAGAAGGCACGCGTGTGGGTGTGAACACCTTTTAATGGCTCGTGTTTCTTCTTTTCCCAAAGATTTGTAATAAAAATACATGGAATTTCAGGAGTCACAGTACAGCGGGCGATGACAGAGTGGAACGGGGCAGTGTGTGCAGTTCGGTCCTCCTGGCGGGCAGGATTCACCCCAGGGAACCCTAACGCTCAGGCCTGGCACCCCTGCTGCCTGCTCTCGGGCGCTGGCAGCCTGGGGAGCCGCTCTTGAAAACAGAAATGAAAGGGAACGCGGTGGACGGCCTCACCCTGCCCTTTCCGTCCTCTTCACACACGCAGGTGGCCCAAGGTGCCGGGCCGACTCGGGTCCCTGAAGTGGCCCAGAAACGGGCTCTGAGGCAGCTGTTGCACGGCAGGCGGTGGTGAGGGGCCCAGAACTGCAGCAGGAGGCCGAAGTCCTCGGCCCAGCTAGGACAGTGAGGACAGGCACTGCCCAAACCCGCCAGCCAGTCGCCCATTCAACAGAAAAGGTCAAAACCACTGGGTTTTGAGTCAAAATCCTTCACATCCACCTGTGTTCAAAAATAACTTACCATATTAAGAGCTTCCTTGAAAGAACGATCGCACTGTGAACCCTAAGTGCGGAAAGGCCCACCTCCCTGCGGAGCGAAGGACACGGCGGAGCAGCGGGCACCTCGTGTGTCCAGCTTAGGGCTGAGCCCACCGCCCGGCAGCAGGTTAAGTGAGGCAGGCAATTTCTCCGCGAGGGTCTCGGCCCCGCAGACCGGCAGATTAACCACGGCCCGCGAGGCGGCGCCTCGGGCGCCAAGCTGGTCAAGTTAGGCACGTGTGGCGCCGGGACAAGCTGCCTGCGGACGTTCTGCCCGCTACAGTCACTGCCCCCGCGTGGAGCTAAGAATAGGGTCGGCAAGGGGCGTGGGCAGGGGGTGCCGCAGCGAGTCCGCCGCCGGCGCAGTGCTCGGTCACCGCCCACCCGAGGGCTTGGGGCTGGTGACGTCATGGGCGCGCCGGAGCCCCGGTGCCGCTGCGCGCAGCCGCGAGTCCGCGACCCCGGTGCGGGTGCGATGCCGCCTCCATGGCCGGCCAGGCCCGGTGCCTTCCCAGGCCCGGCCGGTGGCTCGGAGTCGACGGCACCCGCACCGGGGCTTAGCCTCAGCAGCCGGACTGGAGGATGCTGCCCCCGGAGCGCTTGGTCACCGACAGCGTCGTGAAGATCTGCGGGAGAGAAGGCGACAGTTTCAGACCGAGCAGGGGAGGGGACCGGGGCACAGAGAGAAAGCGGGGAACCTAGACGGACGGAACACGCCCAGTTATCTCTGAGGAACGACTGTGTCTGTCGCCACACCAGCCCGCAGGTGGCGTCAGCTCCGAGGCAGCAGAACCGGGACACGGAGGGGCCGCGCTCCCCTCCTCAGGCACCCCCGCCCGCCCCGCGCTCGTCCCTCCGTGCGCTCCGCTTACACCCCCGTGTGCACAGCTCGTGTGCACCATCGCACCGTCCTGCCACCAGGAGGCCCAGACGTCCGCGCCCCTCCTGGACGACACGACCTGTGCAGGCGACCCCAGGAACCCTGCCTGGCTACTGCCCATCCTCTCCTCTCCCGGCTGCGCGCTGGCGATGGCGATCAGCTGTCGGCTCTGACTTACGTGGCTGCTTTCCTGCGGAACTGGGTCTCACCTCTGCAGCAAACCAAGTGCAACCAACCAGCAGACAGCAGCCTCGGCTGGGACCCGAATCTACCGCGCCCCCGCGCGATAGTGCAAGTGCTCCGGCCCCCAGAATTCAGCTGGGAAGGGGCCCTTGAGGCCAGTGAACAGTCAAGGCTGCCTCTCTGGTCTGAGTAAGCCAGCTTAGGAAAGGCCATAAACAGATCAGCAGGCTCGGGAGGAAGGGGGCTGCAGGGTCAGCTGTGAGCTACTCTAGGAGTGCCCAGGCAGCAGATTCATAAAGGAAAGAACGTTTAGCTCCCAGTCTGGGGATCCAGGGCCTTGCATAGTGACGGCCTTCAGCCTAGCGGGCCGGAGGTGGCACAGGGTGCCACCCAGCAAGGAGGGAGTGTGTGTGTGCGTGCATGCATGTGTGTCTGTTTGTCCTCTTTCGTTCTCCTTAGAGAGCCACCAGGACTCCTTTGATCACCACAGCTCCACTCTAATGACCTGATCTCACTCTGATCACTTCCAAAGGGCTGGATTCTAGGAATTTTTTGTATCAGGACTTGAACTCAGGACCTTGAGCTTGCCAGGCAGGCGTGGCACCACTGAGCTACATCCCCAGCCCAAAAGGCCTAGACTCTAAAGACCAAGGCCATGGCATCTGCACCCTTTAGTATCTCACAGTGGGGGTCAGAGCTCCAAAGTGAGCCTCTGGGGATACTCTAGCCACAGCGAGACTGGTGAACTCAGAGCACCCGCTCCGCTCCGTCCTAGGGCATATGGACAGGCTTCTGGCTACCTGCCCCATTACTGATTCCCTAAAGACAGTGAGTTCTTAGATTTTAATACAGAAAGGAAAGAGCACAGGAAATAAAGGCCATTTTGACCTATACAGGTCCAAGCAACTGGAACTGGCACCAAATATACTTTTGGCTGGGAGGATCCCAAGTCTTGAACCTAACTTGGGCAAATGAACAAGAACCTGTCTCAAACCAAAGAAAAAACCAGAGACAGAGTTCTCACTATGTAATCCAGGCTGGCTTCAACTTACTATGTAGCTTAGGCTGGCCTCAAACTCCAGGCAATCCTCCTGCTTCAGCCTCCCGAATGCTGGAATTACAGGCATGTGCCACCATGCCCATAGTTCAGTGTAAAAGCCCTAGGTTCAATCCCCAGTACCACAAACCAAATCAAACAAAACAAAGACACAGTTTTGAACAAAATGGGGAATACTTTTGTATAAAGAAGGAATAACACTGAGAAAAGCCTTTGGCCTGTTTTAGTCTTAGAAGAAAGACCAAGCCTTTGTTTACTGCCTATGCCAATATACCATCAGCACTATCAGATGTCAGCAGCTAAGGACAGCATCTTAAAATATGAACCCAGAAGAAAATACAATGTGAGCACTTCACACTCCCCACAGTAATAATTAGAATAAGAAAAGGGCTCATCCCTGCTGGCAACTGTAATACTGATTATGCCAAAGCCTGCTGTGAAGTTAGCCCCGTGACTGGCTTGTTTAGAGAAGTGAGCCGGTCAGAGTAACTCGCACCCAAATTCCGTTCCCACAACTAAAACCTTCTGACTAGAAGGACAGTGTTCTAATTAGTCATATATTTTGTCTATTCTGTTCCTAATTTGAGAATGCTTTATCTTGTCCTTCCTGAGCCCTGTTTACATTCATTTCCACAGAAACCACACATCGCCTTTACCCCAACTGACCGTCAATAAAAGTCAGTGCCTGGGACTGTCAGGGCCTCTGTCAGCTGCTGCAGCATTGGCTGTCCTGGCCCCCGCTTTCTCTCCTAATTCTGTCTCTCAGTGTATTCTTTTTCTCAGGCCTGCGTTGTATACTGGGCCGGTGGGGACTAGAACCTGACTACAGGGGTCTCCGGCAGGAAAGATGTAAAAATCCTGGAAATAGCCGTCCTTTTTATGCTTACTGTGGAAAATACATTCACACTGAGTTCTGCAACACACTCAACGCTGCAACATGCTCATTAGCACTTACACGCTCATTAGCACTCTTATACCAACACTGATGGCACAGGAAACGCACACGTTTCTGAGAAGCAGTACAGTTCCTTTGTCTAAAGAATGTGACCGGGGGAGGGGGGGACACCCCACATGACACCAACAGTGGGTGCCTGTGCGTAATTTAAACACACTTCCTTTCCAGTTTTTACACAGGGAGGAAAGTGAAGAGCAAATTCAGGCTTGTGGGCTGGCGGGAGCTTGTTTGATTTCTTAGGAATTGATTTAGAAATAGACTTCGGGTCAAGAAAGGGGCACAGATAGCCCAGAGCTGCTGTGCAGTTTTCCTCTTGCTGCCAAGGCGCTTGTACCAAAGACAGCAGGTCTGGTTCCTACAAAGCTGTCATTCACGCGCGGCTCTTCTAGAATTGTCATGAAAATGCTGATTTTTAAGAAATGAGTGCAGAGGGCAGCCACCAGCCCACGGGACACCCACAAAGACCAAGAGCTGCTCACCAGGCGTGGCCCACGCCTGGAGTCCCAGCACTCAGGAGGCTGAGGCAGGAGCATCACTGTGGAGTTCAAGGCCAGCCTGGGCTGCATAGTGGTGAGACCCCGTCACAAAACTCAAAAAAAAAAAAAAGCTGCTGCATGGGAGCTCTGACCTCACCTCCTCCTCTCTGACTCCAATTTGTCCTGCCTGAGCTCTCCCCACCCCTGAGAATGGCAATGTTGACAAAACAGCAGCACAAACCCAAAACTTGATGTTCAGCACAAAAATGCATCTCAGGATATTTCAAAGGGGTCCTTTCAAATGCTCTCCTTTCTCTTGGTACTGGGGATCCAATTCAGGACCTTGCGCTCACGAGGCAGGTGGTGGAACCGCTGAGCTAAATCCCCAGTCCTCCAAATGCTCGCTCTCTCTTTTTTGTAAGCCTTGAAATTTTTATTTAACATAATGAGATATAGTAACATATTAAAGACTACATAGAGCTCTTCTGTTGTTCGCCAACTGTTTTTATGACATTAACTCTAAGATCTGGAATGTGACCGAAAATGAGAATGTTTTGCTGTTTGGGGAAATGCTCTCCCTTCGTGAGCTGTTGTTTTCCCCCAAGTAAACTTGATTAGTTGAAATTACGGCTGTAAATTAGGAGCAATCAGCTTCCTATTCCAGGACTGCCGTGTGGTAGTGAGGAGAGCTCACCGCACCTGGCCTCACGCTGGCCGGGCTCGGCCTCAGCCTGGTCTACACAGCAGGTGCCCAGGACGAGGCTGCTCCCCCGCTCTCACTTCCCCAGTGACCGGACCCGCAGGGAGGCAAGCTGCTATTTCTCAGCACTTCCAAGTAGTCCTCAGGTCCCATCTGAAATTACTGTCACTCCTAACCCAGCCATGGACTGACATTTGTGAAATCCAATAAAAACGAACCGAGAAAATGGGTCCCGGAAAGGTGCCTGATACCAAGGCCCGGGTTCTCTCAGTAGCCTGGACGCTGTCGGGCTCTGGAAGACCTGGCCCCTCATCCCGGGGAGCAGTGCCAAGCACCCCGCATCCTGGCCTGCAAGGCGGCCCTCCAGGAGCAGCGTGCACACGGAGAACAGGGGTTCACGGCCAACCCTGGCACTGTCCACACCAGGTGGCCGTCGCCAGAAGAGAGCCCCGGAGAGACCCCTGGGCAGCATCTCGCTGGCCCTGGGGGAAGGAAATTTTTAGTACAGGCCTGAAATGGGCCTGGAGTTGTTGAAACTCAGCCCTTAGCAGGTGTCAAAACAGAATTCCCCCAGGCCCAGTGGCGCGTGCCTGTGATCCCAGCACTTGGGAGGCAGAGGCAGGAGGCTTTCCATGAGTTCAAGGCTAGGCTAGGCCACACAGCAAGACCCTGTCTAAACAAAACACCAAAATAAAAAACCCCAATTCCATTGCCCAACAACCAGCAGTAACTGCATGACTGGAGTGCTGGTTCTGAATCTAAGGAAAGACTCCCCACATTTGGTGTCGCTGTCCTGTGAATAAAATACAGATCCCAAGAAGCCCTGAGCCAAAGCCCTGGAGGCCCTGTGTGGACCTGAGCAGAGGTCTCCCGGCCCTCAATGTGGGCAGCCCTGTCTGGCCCAGACCCCGAGAAGCTTGTGGTAAATCCACACTCGCTGCCGACATGCTCACAGAATGAGACAGCATCTTGCTATTTATCTTCCTAATCTGCATGGAGAAATAAAATACCGTAGTCCTAGCAGAGCAGTTACACTCAGCCTCTGGGCTGCACTCAGAGGAAAAGTGTGTGGTGGGCACTGCATCTGTCTAGGCCAGGGCACCACAGGGCCAAGTGCAAGGAGTCGAGCATGGCCAATGTCCCTCAAAGCCGCCAGCAAGGCAAACTCTCGCGGACAAGCTGGAAATGACCATCAGGAACAATGGGGACAGCTCTGGGGACCTGAGACTGGCACTTCGATTGCTACATTTGCTCTCTGGGTGTCAGACTATGTCCCCCAGAAGATGTATGCCCATCCCTGTCCCTGTGAACAGGCCGGATGTGGGAACAGGGTCTCTGCAGGTGGAGACTGCAGTGATGCAGCCACAGGCAGGCAACGGAAGAGCAAGGAGGGTTCTAACCACTGAGAGGGCTCAACCCGCTGACCTGGGTTCAGGTTTCCCAGGTTTCCATCCTCCAGAGCTGGAGAGAGCCTGGCTCTGCTGCAGCCCCAGGCAACGCAGGCACCCAAACACATGAAGTCAGTCTGGGTACACGAGTCTGGGTTACAGACACATGAGAGATGCATCCTGCATCCTTAACCAGAATTATCTATAGTCCTCACCTTTTAGCTTTCTACCAATCAAACCCCAGTTGCTGACATGTTACTATTTCACGTTTCCAAGCAGGCCGGGTACACACAATCCTGAGCAGGACACAGGTCCTAATCACAGGAAGCTGAGACATCTCCATGTCGTAAAGCTGACACCTCACATCCTCAGCAAAGAGGTCAGCTGTGAGTGCCGTCAGGAACGGAAACCAGGCAATGATCAAGCCTGCACGTACGCACGTACGCACGCACCCATGTGTTTGCAAGCACACTGTATTGTTGGAAACCACTCTCCACTAGTCTCCGCTCCACCCCTCTCCAAGGAAGCACCAAGCTCTCCGTGTAGGGACATCTGGGCTCCCCACCCCATGCTGTGAAGCGACACTAGGTTGCACCCGAGGCCTCCACGGTCACCTCTACTGTCCTACGCTCATTCTTTTGTTTTGTTTTCTTTTTTGGTACCGGGGACCGAACTTGGGTCCTTGCGCTTGCGCAGCAGGCGGCAAAACCACTGAGCTAAATCCTGGCCCCTGCCTCCATCACTCACAGGCATCGCTTTCCAACCCCACTCTTCCGTACCAAGTGAAGAGGCAGACGAGACACCAGTCACCCTAAGGCGGCGGCCCAGATGCTCCTTCCGGGCTGAAGGCCAAAGAGGTCATTTAGGAGACAGGATAAAGAAAAGACTTAAGGCTCTTCTCTGTAAGTCATTTTCATGTTCTTTTAACCACCTAACCCACGACAGCCGCCGCTAGCTGGCACCATGAGGATGCACAGCAGGAGAACGCCTCTCGGGGACCGGGCCCACCCCGTGCCCGGAGGCGAGGCCACCGACCCACCTCTGCACACACGGGGTGGATCCCAATCGTGCTGTCCAGCTGCCTCTTGGTCAGCCCGCACTTGAGCGCGGCCGCGAAGCCCTGGGTGACTTCTCCAGCGCTGGGCCCCAGTATGTGGAAGCCCACGACCCGTTCCTGAGGGGAAGAGAAAGTAGTATCAGCCGGCTGTTTTCCCCACTTCTATTCCCACGCAGCCCGATCACCACCCCAGGCTGATCTGGAACCGTGGGGGGGGGGGGGGAGCAGGTCGGTGGGACGCTCCTCCCCTCCCCCTCCTCAGAAGCTGCCTGGCCTGCGCATGCGCAGAGTTCTCGCACCCGGCGGCAGGGAGGGAGGCGCAAAAAGCAGAGCGTCTGTCCCTCCTTGACCAGCCCGATGTGCCCGAAAATGTTATCAGAGGGTGGAGGTGACCTCTTGGCTGGTTCTCTCACTGTCACAAAATCTACCTGTGGGGACTGTGACACTTCAGAGCAGCTGCTCATATTAAAAATCACTTAACTAAGGCTTGGGAAGAAAGAGCCATTAGGTACTACGCGGACCCTTAAAGTACTTTTGAAAGCAGAAGAAACAGGTCTGGCAACTCTGACATGTTCAGGAATTACTTTGGACAAACTCTAAATCTCAAACTCGGGCTGCAACTGCCAAGAGCAGAGCACGCCAGTCCATGCTGCTCTCGGCACTCAGAGCTGCTCCTGACTACGCCAGACTGGCGACTGCCTGCTGTCGGCCCTCGCAGCTACCTGGAGCAGAGCTTGTCTACCGACGGTCGCTTCCTACAAACAGGAAAGCCACTCTGCTGCCAAGCACGGTCACGGCTTCCACAGCGCACAGCAGGGGGCTCTGGGTGTGGATAAGGGACAGCTGGAAGGTGAACGCCACAATGTTGGAAAAGCAAAACCTAAAACATGGTAAGGTGCAAGGTTCTATTTACTGAGGATGACATTTTTTTTTGGTACCAGGGATCGAACTCAGGACCTTGTGTTGCACCAGTGAGCTAAATCTCCAGCTCTGACATTCTTAAAACACAACACAAGGCTATATACATAAATACCTAGCAAACAGAAAAACCTGACAGGAGAGTCCTGCGACTGGGGGAGTGAGGGTCAGGACTGCCCTGAGGGAGGGCACAGGCCCTGGCACGGACCTACGTGGCCTGGCAACGAATTCCGGCTCCACCACAACTTGGTAAGGGATCGGAACAGGTACCTGAAGTCCCTGTACTCTGGCTTTCCCAGCTGTAGGATGGGGACAGCAGGGGCTCACGCCCCACGGGGCCGTGTGGGATGCAGGAAGTCAGTGCCTCAATGTGTTAGTGAGCTGACCTGAGTCCACGCAGATCTCTAAAGGCCAAGCCCCTAGTAAGGCACAAGCTGCTGCAGCTGCATCTGCGTGGGTCACTGTCCAACAGGCACAGCCCACTAGCAAATAGGTCAAAGCTGACAATGTTCACCGGGTCTGAATGAGGGGACTTTCCCTATCTTTGTCTTTCTTTCAAATATTTTAAGAAAAAAATAGAAGAAAAACTAGCAGACAAAAAACTTAGTAAGTACTACTTAAAACCAAGGCGCCCCAGACCCTGGGCACACAGAGGACAGCGGGAGTCCCAGGAAACGCTCCGGCCCAGACTGCTCCCCACACAGAGCAAGTGAGACCCTGAGCTTTCAGTCAGACACATTACCGGCAGACCGGCTGCTGTTACCACTCTATAAGCAACCCACTCAACGCCAGCACAGTAGCGGAGAGGAGGACACAGCCACAGACCTAAGGTGCACTCGCGTGGCAGGAAGGGGTCCCCCGAGTGCTCCAAGCAACCAAGCCTCTCTCCGGAGGCAGGAGCAGAGCCTGGTGGAGACGCCGGTGTCCCACCACGTCTCGGTACAGTGCACAGCTAACGGAGGCTCTGGGCAACCAGCTTCTAGGAAAACTCACGGCTAACGGGAGACACTTCTTTCTGCAGTGGCATCATTTGTCACAGCTTCTCCGAGCAGATTCAGTAAATGCCCTGGTGATATGTGTGTTTATTTGTACAGGATCCAGGGAACTGTGTCCTAAAACACTCAGTTCCACAAAAACAATCTGCAGCTGTCCTTGTGTCTAGAGCAGACATGGACATGTGGCTTATTTGTATTAAATTTCAAGATTTAAAAAAACAGGGCAGCCCATTCAGGACCCCTCCCTGTCTCCAGGAGCTATTCTTATTCCCCTTTCCTATTCCCCAATAAACTTTCCTACTAAAAAAAAATTATATTAGGCTTTCAACATAGGGATTCTTTAGCATTATTTATGTTTTCACCGAGAGCATTTTTAAAGGTAATATGCTAGTGAGTTAAATATTTCAGTTTTCTAAGATTCACTTAAATTCTGAGAGAGAGAGAGAGACAGAGGAGAGAGACAGAGAGAGACAGAGAGAGAGAAGATGCACCCTGGACTATAATGTACACCGTCTTTCTTGCTGAGTGGCAGCACCAGTTTGCACAATGAGTATTCAACCCCTTGCACTGCTAAGGTGAAGCACTGCCCCACAGGCTCAGGTACCAGGCTACATGGGCAGCAGGCAGGAGCCCAATTAAGGGATCATCCCTCTGCGGCTTCCTCTCTGGTGCCAGTGGCTGAGCCTCAAACTGGCCCTGCTCCTGCACTTTCATGCGGCTCATTACTTCTAGGCGGTCAGAGATTGAGACACAGAAAGCTCCCGGGCCCCTGCCCTCAGTGACTCAGTGAGTGCTGACTGTGTGCGGGTGACATGCAGGGCCCGTGCCAGTCTAGAGGGCATGGCCGGCAACAGAGCCAGGCTGTGCCTCCTGTGATGCCCACATGTCAGGGAGACTGGGAGGGTACACCCAGGTGAGCACCGCAGGCTGCCATGCACGTCGTGTGACCAGGACAGAGCTCCAAGCCGAACGCTAACCCACATCACCAGGATGACGGGGAGGGCCGCACTTACATCATCTTGAAGATTGCACACTATCTTTGCGTAGCACTTGTTGTTGTCTCTTGATGGAACTGTCCATTCCAACGGCCAAAAGAAACTATGGTAGACCTAGGGAGACACAGTGCAGGCTCGTTACTTCCAGAGTACACAGTCGGCACCGGAGGGCTGCGGTGGAGGACTGAGTAATTAGGGATCCGCAAACCGTACAAGTCATGGAATAAACAGGATCTGGCCGAAAGGCAAATGACTGACTCGGAACTCCTTCCTGTCAAGCACCTTTGCTAGATGCTCATCCCTTAATCGTATCTCAGCTTCAAGAGTCAAGTCTAATAATGCCAAAGAGTAAAAGAATGAGAAGAAAGCAGCCATGTAATTACTGCCTTGCCTTAAAAACAACACAAAGAAGCTCAATACCATCTTACTGCCTGACAGGAAAGACAGCTTAGGCAAGAAACCAACAAGGTGCCAGGAACAATTACAGCAATTATCCAGGTCTCCTCCTCTGGGGTCATTCACCAGGGCGCTGCAGGAAGACGGGGTGGATGCCCTTACAGCTCCATTCAATACACATGATCAATGTCTTTGCAAAGCATGCCGCTGCTGATATGTCAGGGTTCTATGTAAAATTGTTTGGTTTGGGGTTTTTTGGGTACCAGGGATTGAACTCAGGACCTTGCACTTGCAAGGCAAGCAGCGGAACCACTGAGCTAGATCCCCGGCCCTAAAACTGTTTTTTATAAATGTACATTACAAAATGTAATGTCTAGGGCCTGGGATTTAGCTCAGTGGTTCAGCCGCCTGCCTCGAAAGTGTAAGGACCCGAGTTCGATCCCCAGTACCAAAAAAAAAAACCAAAAACAAATGTAATATCTAGTATCATGGTATTGCAATGAATTACACAGGAGAGGAAGAAAAAATTACTCCAACTGCTAACAATTGCTGAGTCACAGATTATATAATCAAAATGTGCTTCATTTTCCTGCAAAATTTTTTCAACTCACACTACTTTTGTAATGAGAAACTTAAAATTTAAATATCTTTGATAGGCAATTTATCTTCAAACTAATTAGAAAAACGGACACTGAATTACAAAGGTATTCACTAATCAATTTACAATTGCAGAAAACTATAAACTATCTAAGAAGGACTTAACAAATTATCCCTAAAAAGAACAACACTTTTTTTTTTAAATGGTATTTTTAGAGAATTAAAGGACAAAGGAAAATGTTCATAACATGACATCAACATAGGGCAGAAAACTGCAAGTAACGTAATCACACTTTTAAAAACTTAAGTGTATGTACCTACCTGAAACTAAAACAAAACACAATATAAAAACATATACAGGTTGGGCACCCCTAATATGAAAATTAAAAATCTAAAATGCTCAAAACCCAAGGATTTCACAAAGTATGCTGATACGAGGTCACCAGCAGAAAATCCCACACCTGACCCCCATGACAGGCTGAAGTCCAAACACAGGTGCATTAAATATACTGTGTTTTCTGAGCGTGGTGGCACATGCCAGTAATCCCAGCACTCAGTAGGCTGAGGCAGGAGGACTGCCATGAGTTCGACCCAGCCTAGGGTACACCCAGGGAGTTCAAGGCCAGCCTGGGCTACAAAGCGAGACCCTGTCTCAAAAACCAATCGATCAATACTGTTAGATTATCTTCAAACTAGATGAGAAAGGGGTACGTAAGACAAACTTCATGTTTAGTCTTGGTCCAACAATATCTTGTTACACAGATGGAAATATTCCAAAAACAAAACAAATCTGAACCCCAAAACACTTCTGGTCTGAAGCATTTTGGACTAACAGATTCTCAACCTACATAAATCCTTAGAGAAAAAAGGCTAAAAGGAAACATGCAAAAACATAAATAGCAATTATCTCTTCATATATTCAAATTTCCTTTTGGATGTTTTCCTAATTCCTCAAAATTTTTATAATGAAGATATATAATGAGATCTATGAAATTCATTATTTGGAGCAGTTTTGTGATTGGAGTAGTTATTTTATGTTGGAATTTGAATTTCACAATTCTTAGATAATTTTTTCAAGTGGATGTTGATGTACTTATGTTACCAGATGATTGGCCCATTCCATTTTGGTGAAACAGGTTTGTGGTTTTGGAAGTTGTTACTCTTCTCAAAATGAATAGTCTTGAAATACTTAAAGGCATGAATGTGGGAAGACTCTTTAAGGGATGGTATAGTACCAGGTCTTCCTCGAATGAAAGTCTGATATTTGCTGATGACACAATGACAATTCTGTGCTGTGGTTGATGTTTAGAGGAGACTGTCTGGTGCTCTTGTTTTTATTTACATTTGTCATTTTGTTATGAAAGAATTTTAACATGCTGTAAAATCTTCTGACGAGAGAAGTCTCTTGCTTTATATAGCTTCTTGAATTCAACTAAGAGATTTAAAAACTGATAGCATAAATGCCTAGAACCATCCCTGGCATTATTTTTATAGCAGGAGAATATTGTCTTAGTATTCTGTTCCTTTAAAATTCTTTGGTAAGGCAAAGTAGGATTGCCTCTATTATGTAAAAACATCTGTAAACAGAGCTTGTACGGTTTGCTGCGTCAAACAGTATTTCCAATCTAAAAATCTTATCTCATTTCCACTTTAACTACTTTTAGTCATATTTATTAAGTAATGAGTTTGTACTCTTTTATTTTGTAACGTTTTGTGATTTTTTTTGTACAATATTGTATTTGTAAAATAGCAGTTCTCAGCTGATAGAATGAATAAAATGCACTTTTACAAGTAAAAAAAAAAAAAAAAAGATATATGAGAAAAAGTCAATGTGCTCCTAGTAGAATAAAGTATGACATGCTAATAGAGCAGTGTATAATAAAGGAAAAAAATTACAAAATATCTAAAGTACCCTTTTGTATCATAAAATTTACTTATATTCACAAATCTGGTTATTTAGAAGGTTTTATTGGAAGCTTTCCCCCCCCCCGGTGATTTAAACAGTAGTTGTGTGTATAAAAACACTGCGCATCTTCCTTGACTACATAAGAAGAGGTGAATGGTGAAGTCAGTATCAATTAGACCATAATGTCAGAAACAAAACAATTTATTACTTACGGTCGGAGCAGTAGCACTATAGTTAATTTTTAGTTTTCTTCTTATTTTGGTGTATTTTTCGTATTTCAACAATATTGTTTTAATACCAAAGGAAACCAATAAATGTGATTTTTAAAAAGCAGAAAGAATTATTACCAGGTCAATTGAGAGGTAAATCAGATAAAACTATTTTATCAATATTAAATTTCCTAAAAGTGCTAACCATACTGCAGTTTTATTAAGAAAATGACCTTGTTCATAAACACACACCAAGGTAATACAGGGTATGGGGTATAAAGGAGTCTCTAATGGTTCAGAGCAAAATAAATACAGACACAGATACAAAGAAGAAACAAAAAGTAGGTAAAATATATAGGTAAATTGCAATACGAAGAACCTGGACATTGGTTGTAAGGAAGAAAAAAACAGTAACACAGAAGAAAAGAGAACTTGCCTCAACATTTTCTTCCCCAAATTTCTCCACAGCTTTCTCCTCAGAAAGGCCACAAGCTCCATATTCCAAAGGAGTGAACACGGTGGTTGGAACATTTTCATAGTCACACTGTTTCAAACCAGAGGAAAAGAATTAGGATAGGCAAACCTGTGATTAAAAGGTTTACTTTTAAAAGGTTCAAAATTGGGAGAGGAAAGCAGGTAATTTTCTTTTCTGTTGTTGTGTTTTGTTTTTTTTGGTACTGGGGATCGAGCTCGGGTCCTTGCGCTTGCGCAGCAGGCAGCGAAAAAGCAGGTAATTTTCAACCTGAAGTACAGGAAGTCCCAGTCCCAGGTAATAATTGGCTACACTGAGAACTGCTGACTTCTGGGAAAGTCTTTGTAGAGGTCTGAACCCTCGTAAGACTGATGATGAAGAAAAGACTCCTTGGGCCAGGGATTTAGCTCAGTGGTTCTGGAGCCTGCCTCGCAAGTGCAAGGTCCTGAGTTCGATCCCCAATATCAAAAAAAAAAAAAAAAAGACCGGTATGGCTTCTTGTCCTCTCTCTCAGCTGAGGTCACCAATAATGACTACTTGGTTCTCCTCTAATGAAACAGTGATAAACAATATAGGGGTACCCAACACTTGACAATCTAATACTAGTGATAAAAAGTAATACAGTGGTTTGGAACATCAGATAATACATATTAAGAGCCATAAAAGTATTCTATGCCTTTGGCTCAATAATTTACATTTTAAGTCTATGATTATAATGAAAAAAACAAATGGTACAGGAGATCGAACTCAGGACCTTGAGCTTGCGAGGCAGGCGGCAGCACCACTGAGCTAAATCTCGGCCCAGTTTATGATTATAATGTTATTATAGTTACATATCATGTTACTGTAACCGTAATAATACGTGATACTTATATAGAAAAGGCTACATGTATTAAGTATCACTGCAGTACTCATTAATATTAGCAATACTGAAATGGCTTTAAAAAGGCCATTGGAAGTGGCCCTAGAATACTACATACTCTCACTGTATCATTATAAAGCCATTAAAATGACAATGGAAGCCATAGAAACCTTTTATTATGTTACAATTCAAAATAACTCCAGGTCACAAGTAAATTTTACTAGTATCAATCTGTGACATTTCATTATTATAGCCAACTGAAAGCAAGCTATGATGATGTATACTTAAGGAAAATGGCACTAGTAGGTCCTTTTAACTAGTTCATTCCTGACCCCTCTTCAACATAACATGAATATATTTATTCTCGTGTCATCTTGTCCTGTGCAACATAACCAAGAGTTTCAGCTTTCTACAGTGACTTTGAAAAAACCACTTTACTACATTAGTATTAGTACGCAGCACACCCACATCCCAAGAGCAAAAGTTTGTTGTTTCTTTTTTTTTAAAGAAAGGACAGGGGAATAAAGCCTGAACCAAGATAAGCCACTCCACATACCGACCTCTTTACCTAATTTCCAAATCCTTTTACAGCCTAGATAGGGGCCAAAAAAGATATAGAAAATTATACTTATGGTTATGATGAAACTGATGGAAAATGCAACTGCTTAATTTATAGGCGCAAGCTGTTCTTATTCTTACTATGACTTCAAAAGTGACAATTTTCATAAGTCACAAATACATAGCTATCATTTGGAATATAGTTAATAAAGCACACCTAGGATGACATAACAAAATAATGATATTATTCAAGGCCTGAAAAATTTCCCAACTGCCCCCCTCTAAATAGGGAATTGAGAGTATTATTTCAAAGGGTATCTTAAGCCACATATAGTAGCACACACCGTAATCCCAGCCCTTGGGAGGCTGAGACAAGAGGATTCTGAGTTCAAGCCCAGCCTGGACAATTCAGCAAGATGCTATCTAGACACAAAATAAAAATGGGCTGGACAGCTCAGTGCATAGTCCCTGAGTCGGACCCCCAGCAGTGCAGAAAGAAAGGCACCTCAGCAGTGGCAGCGCTGCACTCACCCGGACCGTGGAGCCTCCATACAGCCGCTGGGCCAGCAGCCTCCCCGCCTGGATGGCCACGGGGGTCAGCTCCAGCTTGCCCTCCAGGATGTCACCTATGGCGTAGATGTACGGCACGTTGGTCTGCTCCTCGTCCGTGACCGGTATTTTTCCAGTCCTGAAAATTCATTCAGTTAAAAATCACCGGGCCGGAGATGTAGCTCAGTGGTTCTGCCACCTGCCTCACAAGCACAAGGTCCTGAGCTCGATACCCGGTACCCAAAGAAATCACCAAGTCCCATTATTAACTGAGTAGACCTGAATCCCCCTTCTCCCAAGGAAGCCCTGAACTGACCCGTGCTGAGAACAATCTACTAATGCCTCAAAGCTCCGAGGAACCAAAATGCTGACTGACCACTCTTTCCAGCCATTATTTGGAAAATCAAAGAGATAAGAAAACTACAAGGATCCTTACAATACAGTGGTTAAGGGCTGGGAATTTAGCTCAGTGGTTTCATCACCTGCTGCGCAAGCGCAAGGATCTGAGTTTGATCCCCAGTACCAAAAAAAAACAATACAGTGGTTAAGAGTGAAAATCCTTTGCTTAGCATGTGTGAGGCCCAGGGTTCAATCCCCAGTAGAGAGGGAAAAATAAACAAAAGAGTGAAGAAAATTCTAAATTATGACAACCAACAAAACTAACCCCAAGCAGGAAATGTGAATGTGAGTGGCACTGATAGAAGAGTTTGTAACCCTGAAACAGGGACTCCATCTACGGCAAAAATCAAAGTCTAAAACTCTAGACTGGATTGATGTTGCAAATAACTGAAGTCATACTGAATATGACACAGTATTTTTTTCTTACTTTGCATTGATCTTTACTCCCACGGTTTCTAAGCCAATATTCCTTGTACAAGAATCTCTTCCTATTGCCAGCAACACCTGAAAAATCAATAATTACTATTAACAACCTTTGCATGAATCATTTAGTCACATTTTTCTGATTACTAAGCTAATCTCATTTCACTTTCCAGACTTCGAAATAAATCTTTAATTTAGAAAATAATGTGAAATAATTTAAACAAATTAAAACCTTTTTTTTTTAAATCCTTTGAACATGACACAGCTGAAATCCTTTTCCATTTCTCACTGGGATAAGAGGAGTTAATGTCTCAATAAACCTAGAGCCCCATGGTATGGAGTCATTTTCTAAGCGGTGGCTGGGGAGATGAAAGGAGGGACATGGGGTGCACAAGCTGGGGCCTGTTCAAACCTCCTGGGCCTTTTTCTAGGCATCTGAGGAATGTTTTAGATTACAGTGGAGAAAATCTGCAGCTGTCCTTGTTCCTGAACAAATGATAATACTGGAGTAATTGGGCTGTCTTCAAATGGGCACAGGCCCTGCAGTCGTCCTAGGCCCAGGGCAGACACCCAGTATGCACCCACCCACCCGCGAGGCACCCACCTGGCGGGCCCTTACCGTATTATACTCCCCTTCGATGGTCTCCATGCTGTTGGTGGACTGAGCTGTCACCTTCAGTCGGCCTGGGGTCCCTGCCTCAATTTGTTCAATCTGTAAAAGTGATAAAGTTTTGCTCTGAAACAAAGATATTATCAAAGAGGATAGCTGTACCTTTTCTATCTCTCTAGTCCAAGGTGAAACATGAAATCTGGCTTGAGAGTTCTTTCAGGTCCCTCCCATCTCCCTCACCTTAACATTATTGGGATGCGAAGTGACTGTTTATGTGTCTTACACTTTTCTCACTGCTTAATGCTGTTTCTTAGAGGAGCTTTTATCAGACAGCTCTTAAACAGTCGAATTTGGAGAGAAAAGCAGAAAGAAGAAAGCCAGAGAAAATACACCAAGATCCCTAAAATCAAACCTACAGAAAGCCTCTGACCTCATCCTTACTCGTAATTTACCCAGAACCATTAATCACAAGGAAGATAGTGAAAAAAGCCCAAAGGGATTTAGACCACAGCTTAGAAAGTCCTAGAGCCAGAGTGGGAAGGAGACACGTTCACCCTGAGCCCAGGTTTGTGGTTGCAAAGGTGGTGAATGGAGCACACAAGCCCTGGGAGGGGATCCCAGACAGGCAACAACTGCAGACAGGCGATAACCACGAATACCTTCCACCCGGACGCTTTCTCGGGTCTATAGTTACCTTCATTTCTGAGTAACAGGCAAATCGTGCATTTTTGTAAAATATTTCCTGAGAGAGATCAACATGATCCCCTGTAATTTTCACCCTAACTGTAGAATACAGCTGCTCCGCTCCGGTTTGGGAGCACTGTCAAGGTCGCCGTTTCCTTCTTAGATTCCCTTTTCACTTTATGCAATGGAACCTCTTCACTGCGCTGGAGGTCTTTCCGGTTCCAGGCAAAGCAGCCTGGAGCCCACATCTGTTTCAAATGGCAGGGAGGGGCCGAGTTGCTCCAGCCAAGCCTTTCCTGCCTAAAGCTGCATCCTCCCCACAGCCCGTTCCTTCTACTTCGTCACCTAAAGCACAGCAAGAGTGCAAGGCCTGCCACAGGAATCAGACACCCGTGGGCCAGTTAGCAGGCACTGCCCCATTCACCAAGTTTTCAACAGGGTTTACAGATATATCTATTATGTTATATATTATATGGGAGGTGTTATTTTTCTATCAGTACAGCGTGGATATCTACTCTACATAATTTATATGTAATAGGTGTATAATTGCTGTCTCCTCATCACAGCCCTAACACAGATAGAGCATCTCTACTCCCTGAGAAACAGCCGGAATAACCAAGCACTGGTAACTCCCACAAAATCCGCACTTCGATCTTCTGGACGATAGTGAGAGACACACTCCCGTTACATTTACTCCATGCCAGTCGTGTGCTGGTCACTGGAAGTGTTCACTAACACAGTCCTCACAAGAACCTTCAAGTAGATAGTACCATCTTTTTCACTTTACAAAAGTAACCAAGGCTCAGAGACATTAAATAACTCTCCCTAGGTCACATGGCAAAATGCTGCATGAAGGTCCCTAAATCCAGATCAGACTGACCCCCAAACTATACTCCTACCTCAGGATAAGAAACTCACCGTCATGCAGATAACCCAAGTCACCTTACTGAGAAAGACAAAATACACAAGCCACAGGCTAGGGATTTAGCTCAGTGGTTCCACTGCCTGCCTCACAAGTACAAGGACCTGAGTTCAATCCCTGGTACCAAAAAAAAAAAAACCCACAGGCCAACACTGCTACACCTTAATAAAGCAGTCTCTCCATTACTCTGCCACTCTTATGTATCAAAACATTTGTGGTAAGGTTAACAAAATCTCAGCTACAACCTGGGAAAGTTTAAGGCTTCTGAAACAAAGACTAAAAGTGAGCACGAAAGCCAGCCCACTAATAAAATGAGGTAACTGCTCCTGGGGAAGCTGGAGTTATATAGTCGATATGTCAGCTACACCATATAACCAGGGAAAATCTCTTCTGGGGAAAAATCGAATCAGGCTAGTCTTGAATTACTATTCCAGTCTCTGGGACCTGTACAGCAGACCAAAGACAGTACCAAGGAATGTATAGGGGAATATCAGACCGCAAAGAGAATGCGGACAAGGAAAGGCTCGTGGATGTGCACACAAGCACTCCTCAGGCATCCAGCCAGGCTACACACGTGTACACCAGTACAGCAGTACCGGTATTCAGCAGTGAGGAGCCGCAGGGTCCCCAGTGGGCTGTAAGGCTCACAGGGTGCTCCCACCACGAAACAGGCCCCCTTCCTGCCTCTTATCATGAATACAGAATGGACAAACTCACAGACAGCCCCACTTACTTTAATCGGTACAAACTGCTTTATGAACTTGATCCCGTGTTCTTCCATGTGTTCGCCAATTTTGTTGGCCATGTCCTGGTCAAATCCTCTAAGGAGAATGGACCGGACCATGACAGTGACGTCTAAACCGATACCAGCCAGGAACCCAGCACATTCCAAAGCCACATAGGACGCTCCGACCACCAGGGTCTTCCCCGGGCAGTAAGGCAGGGAGAAAAGATCATCACTGAAAATCGGGGTGGGGAGATAAAGCATTCACATATGAGTAATGGAAGGAAATAGTTTCACTTTCACAAGAACAAGAAACTTTTAGAATTACAAATATTTCATTACCCACACACACAACAGGATAGAAAGAAGTCTCTGGAAAGCCTTAGATATTGTCTTCCCTTGTTGCTCAAAGCACTGAGGCTCTCTCAGCACCCAGGTGATGGTGTTTCATTACCGCAGCCCACTGTCCCAGACAGAAAGGACGGCAGCTGCTGTCCATGCTGCCCCTGGGCAAGACCCGAAGGATGAAATCATTTTACCAAAGAGAGTCTGAAGGAGAAGATGAATGCGTAAATCAGAAACTCTCAGGGCAAAAGCACCGAAGAGGGCTAGCTACCAACAACCTGCCTTAATGACTTCGTGATTTTTTTTTTTTTTGGTACCGGGGATCGAATTGGGTCCTTGTACTTGCCAGGCAGGCGGCAGAACCACTGAGCTAAATCCCTGGACCCCTTACTGACTTCAAAATTTCAAAGCTCTCACCAATAATGTTGGCCGTGTTATTACTTGGTTGGCAAAAGGAAATCACACAGCAAATCCCTTGGTGGGTGTGCATATTTCCCAAGCTCTCTCTACAGGACAGTAGTGATTAGGGACCAGGGTCTGGTAAGTGTAGATGAAACGCCTGTTCCTAATTCTCACAGCGTCCACTGTGCACATGTAGAAGAGAAACATGATCCCGTCTTGCAAATCTTCATGTAAATGCACCTGCACCACACTTGTTTTACACAATGTCTGTGGGCGTCCACCCCGTAGGTGGGCCCTGAAACTTGCGCAGTCACGTAATGCAAGCATGCATCTGCATCAAGAGGGTTCGTGGTATATTAACATTCACTCTCTGTGGGAGAATAACCAGTATTTGCAGTTTTGAATTTTTAAAATGTTCTCTTGCTTAAAATATTTTCTCTTTTAAGAATCGGACTAAGTGGGCTTGAAGAAAAGAGCAAGATCCACCCTGGTCCCCCCATTTTCTCCTTACCTGCTAATGCAGAACTCTTTGTCACCGGGGATGCCCAAGTAGCGAGGCCGTTCACCAGTGGCAATGAGAAATCGCTCTGCTGAATAAATTTTCTCTTTGCCCTTATTATTTGTTGCCTACAAAGAAACCAACATGAAAGTTTAGTTAAGTAATTATTCCTTAGAACTGTAGGCTTTATAGTTAATAAAGGCTTTCCTGCACAATGTCTCAGCTGATCCTTGTAAACATGAGAGCCTGAGAGAGGCGCTGGGTAGTGAACCACTTGCTCAAGGTCACAGTGCCAGCCAGATTCAAACTGAGCTAACCAGGCCCAGCTTAGCCACCACGCCCTACAGAAGGCCATGCCAGAGGTGTCAGCCCAACCACCAAACTGAAGTCTGGGTCACAGTGGCTAATGATTTTAATTCTAATACCTTAAAGTATTTTTTCTCCCCCACTAGCAGGAACCAAAGCTCAAAAAGAAATAAAGAGAAAGACAGAGAGAGAGATGAGAGAGTGAGTGAGAGAGAGAGAGAGAGAGAGAGAGAGAGGGGGGAAGCAAGCAAGCTGCACAGGATGCCAGGTTTACCTTAATCCTGTGAGGACCAATGAACTGCCCGAATGCATTCTCGTAGACAACCTTCTTCTCCCGAAGAGCTACTCGGTAGCCCCAGTTGAGCGAGCCGATGTGGTTCTGGACAGCTTCCGTCATCTTTTCCCAGTCATGCTGAACTGCATGAGAAATCAAGACAGAACATTTAGCTCTTCCACTGCCTGGAAACCAAAGTTCCCCAGACACTACTCATCCGGAACACCACAAGCAGGCTGTTAGTCTAAAGGAGTAAGTCCTGCATTCTGGGCACATGAGCTACGTTTGGCTTTTGGAAGACATCCATATGATGAAATCACGCGAGCTTTCCTGGAAATTCTCCAGACTGAAACAGCCATGACACAAACACTTTTCTCCGAACCTAGAAAGGAACTGGAACTTACTTGGGCTGTACTGGTAACAAACTAGTAAGAGAGTCTCACACAGCCAGCTGTACGGGGACTGAGCGAGCAGCGGTGTTCATGTAGCCACTGGTCCCCTGGCACCACGGGTCAAAGCTGGCCTGCCAACGTCTTTGGTAAACAAAGCTTTCCTGAGACGCAGCTGAACTCATCTCGGGCGGGTTCGCACCAGACCGTGAAGCTGAGTCAGCGCCACACACGTGGGCCGTGAACCCTGAAACATTTACTCTCTGCCCTCTACAGAAAACGTTCAGACAGAATTTTCAGTCTATCTCACTGCCCTCAGTTCGCTGTCTTCCCAAAGAGTTTTATTTTATCACAGTTAAATTAATCTTTTGAGGGTGGGGGATTTAGGTTCCACCACCTGCCTCACAAGCACAGGGTCCTGAGTCCGATCCCCAGTACCAAAAAAAAAAAAATTTACAGGAAATTAATCTTTTGAGTCCCTAAAATACTGAATTTCAAAATTCTAATGGTTAAGAATCAGCCTTTGTCCCTTGTTAGTCAATATCTTCCTAAGACTAGGAAACAATCACAACGCAGACGAACTACTCTCTGGTATCCGTGGTTCAGAAGCAAGGAAACAAATCCCAAGTCTCTCTCTAGGAAATGAGGACTCGAGGTCACAGGTTCAGTGTTAAGCAGCCTGGCCACGGAGGAAACGGTGAAACCAGGTCTATGAAACCTAACCGTCAGCCTCTGCAAGCAGAGGTCAGCAGAGAAACTGAGAGTGATTATGGATATTCAGTTCACGCAATCACACAATGTCAGAACTGGGGCAAACCTGAAGAGATCACTTCAGAGTAGAGGCCACTGTAGCTGTGGTGTCAAGAGGACCGGGATGCTACTGTCCACCTCAGGACTTGTAATCCCAGCGCTGCAGGAGGCTGAGGCGGGAGGGTTGCAAGTGTGAGCTCAGCCTGGGCAACTTAGTGACTTATTGCGATCTATCTCAAAATGAAAAGCACACAGGGCTGAGCATGTAGCTTAGGGCAAAGGCAGGACTTGCTGTTTGCCAACCAGGAATGGCAGGGAACAGCGGTACATCCCTCATGCCCCCTACGTGCAAGCATCTAACTGCAGCAGTTACCACATTTCACCAATCCCTTTCCACACCCTCTCCCCTTAACCAGAGTACATTACTATAGGGAAATTCCAGACACTCATCAGTGGGGGTCACTGGGACTCAGGGATGCCCTTGCCACTTATGCCCAGCCTGATTTCCAAACTCCTCAAACTCTCCCTGTGGCACAGTGCACAGCCCCCTTGTCCCCCTTGTCCCCATGTCCAGTGTGGCTGTGCCCAAGCAGAAGGACCCTAAATGCCAGGCCCCCAGGCTGGAGCAGGGCACCAAAGCGCTCCAGCTGCTGCCCAGACCTGATCACGCTGTCAGGAGTAGCCAGAACTCCAGCTCTCTGGCTAGGGCTGCCCTGGCTTCTGACAATGCCTGTCAGGGCTGAGATCTACAATGTCCTCCAAAGCCTCATGTGTCCAGAGGCCAGGCTTCTGGAAGGAGATCAGGTCGGTTAAATGTGATGCGAGGATGCAAGGCCTGGCGGGAAGAGACTGATCACTGGGCTGTCACCGACAAGCATCTCTCTCTCCCGGCTCCTCCCTTCTGCTTCTGGCCTCTGGCTTGGTCTCGGGCTGAAACCCACCGAGGAGCCTGGAATGTACACTCCAGCTGGCCGGGCAGAACTGGCTTGCACCTCAGGGTGCCCCTGTGCCATCGACAGCAGCTCTCCTGATGAACCCCGTGCACTAGAGCGCCAGGCCACTCCCTGAGATTCAGTGAGGAAACTAAACTAACGCGAGAGCTGAACAGTTTTTAAGGTGTTTGGTGACATCTGAATCTCAAAGCACCGAAGAGGGAGGAATTACTCCAAATCTACCAGCTGTGATTGAAGAACACAGTGAATGTTTACATTGAGACAAACTGCCCTGAGTCCCTCTCTAAACACACTTCCTGGTTTTGAACACTCTTATCCCATTGTTCTTGCCACTTTCTGCAGTATCTCTGGAGTCCTCTTTTGGATCTTTAGTTGTGCTGTCCTGGCTGCTTCAATGTCCTGAATCCATTCAAAACATTTCCCTTTCTTGGTCATTTTGACTTCGGGGAAGAGCCAGAAGTCACAGATGCCAGATCCAGTGGACAAGGTGGGTGAGCTACATTTCTACTGAACGGAACTCAGCAAAAGCATTCACCATTTTTTTGATCACACCTCGTAAAGACACTCACGAAAGGGGACTCCAGAACTGCTTCAGAAAGTGGCAAGAACAATGGGATCAGAGTATTTAAAGCAAGGGAAATATTTTGAAGGGGATTCATGGCAATGTGTCTTTAATGAATTTTTTAAAAATTTACACATTCACTGTACAGTCTGATCATACCTTGGATATCCAGGAAAATAAAGGGCAGATGACCTGGCCAAGGCCAGGCACACATCAGCAGCACTCACCGTGCGTAAAACATCAATTCAGTTGTGTGATGGGTGAACACAGCCCAAAACTCTGCAAGCCCCTCCCGGTGAACTAATGATCCTGCCTTCTATGCAATGACAATGTGATCCTAAACCTTCTTGAACACTTCATCTTTTAATGACGCATTTAATTCTTCAGCGTAAGAGAATTCAAATAGATAAATCTAAGCAATATAAACCCAATCAATCTTCTAGAAAGGACCAATTCAGATTAAATGAGCTCAAGGTCACTGAGCTTTTCTCCGTGTCTTTTCAATCTGAAGCTTGGGGAGGGGCAGGTCAGAGGCAAAGTCCTGGACCTGACGGCCGCTGCTGTGCTTGGCCAGGCCCCCTTCATCCCTCGGCACCCTGCGCTACTTGGTGTCAGAGAAGAAAATCCTGCTAGAAAGCAAGAGGCTGCTCTCTGGTCTGGGACATCAGACTGGATGTGCTGCTATTCTGAGAGTGCAGAAGCGGCATCTGCTGGGACACGTGGATCAGCAGCCTCTCTCTAGGTTCCCATGGTCTCATTCGGAAAATACTGCTCCAAGTTTCTTTCTAACCCTAAGACCTAATGAAATAAGACAGGGTTTATCTAAACCCATCATACTCCTCACCTGTTATTTTACCACAAACGGGGGAAGATGAAGTACTGGTCCCTTGGTGACACTGCACACACGCGCACACACACACACGCTCACACACCACTTCAGCACAGGGCCCGGACGAGAGAGCCGGAAGGACACAGCGAGAACCCAGGAAACGCCCACATAGGAAGGGCGCATGGACTTAAGCAGGGACTTCACATGCTCACATCTGTCTCTGGAATTACTGCCACTGAGAAATACAGGAGGGGTCAATGGAAAGGTAGAAAACTATGTGTTCCTACCTTAAAATCTAGCAAGAGAGAAGAAACACAATAGAAGTAAAACCATTAAAATAGTTGGATAAATAATTTATTTAAGCTAAGATAAAGATATCAGGAAATTCAAGGACTTAGCACTGGCTTTCATGCATAGGTCTGAACTATGTATTAGCTTTTTATTACCTTAGTCTCCGTACATTTAAAACCAGCAGGTTTTTAAGATTCTAAATGACTCACCACATATATTTTCCTACATTTCTAACGGCATTAAGCAAATCTGTTTCACCAGCTGCATTTGTCTGTAACACTTGACAACTTATGAACTAGGACTCCGCGGAGACCCCATGGAGGGAAACATCATTAGCGGCCCAGACTTAGCGGCAGGCTAGCAGTCACTAGGTGAGACAGCACACGGAAATTATAAAATGCACCAATCACAATGTGCCTGGAACAACCTCCCCTTTTCCAACATGTTCTAGATCTTTCTACATTAATAGTCCCACTTCAGGTCCTTCATCAGAAGAATTTCTAAACTACTATGCAGGTCTAAGAGGTGAGGGGAGGCTGTGTTAATAGGGTGCACTAATAGCGTCAAGAGAGGAAAGAGGGGCAAACGGCCAGTCCAAGAGGGCAGGCTCTGCAACGGCAGACCCACTGGGGTTTGGCAACAGAAGAGTGGCAGACTAGTGGCAGGACCCGGGCTAAGTCCATGCTTTCTGGGTCAGCTGAGCTGAGTCTAACACAGAGAAAATAACACCGCCCTCAGAGCCAAGAGAGGAAACGCTCAGCTACAGCCTCAAGGCTGCAAGGTCATGGACAGAAAGCAGCCTCGTAAGCATCGAGGAAAGAGATATGACCCTGACACAGTAGAACCTTAAAATGACTGATTTTCTAAGGTTCCAGACTTGAAAAAAAGCTCTCTTCATCTTTACTGTTCAACTCTTTCGTTTTTTTAAGACGGGATCTCGCTGTGTAGTTCAAGCTGGCCTTGAACTCATCCTGTAGCCCAGGCTGGCTTCAAACTCTAGCAATCCTCCTGCCTCAGCCTTGCAGTGCTGGGATTATAGCCATGCGCCACCACATCCAGCCCACTCTGAGTACTGTAATCGAGCGAGGACTCAACAGTTCCTCCTCAACAAACAACAGCCCCCACATCTGCCAGTGAAAGAATTCTCTAGCGAGAAAAATGTAACAGCTTCCAAAAGAAGCAAATGAAATTTGTACTTCCTGCCTACCACAAACACTGCACGACTGCTTACACCCACGATCTGAAAGACCTCTGGTTTTCTATTTAGAAAGCAAGTATTAGAAAGTATTTAGAAAGCATGACATAAGGATGATAGCCAACCAAGGGTAACTGAAGTGATTTTACCCATAAAAAATCTAACAATAAAAACAACCTCCCAGGTATTTGCTAACCGTGTAAGAGCAAACAATACCCTGCAAGATCCCAGCTCAAACCCCACAAGCACAGACGAAAGAGTAGCTTTCACTCCCATACCTGTGTCCTCGACTCTCCACCCGTAGTTGCGAGAGTCTCGCAGGGCCTGTCCTAGCAGAGCCGCCTGGTGCATCAGTTTTTTAGGGATGCAGCCCACATTCACACACGTTCCTCCGAGACCTGCGACAACATTGAGAAAACAGTTTATAGTGTTTCACAGGCCTTCAAGGAGAAAGTCAACAACGATCATAATTCCATGACACCTATTTCATTAGCCAAATGTGGTCAACACTGCTATTATTTTATTCCTTAGTCTCATGACATTTCTAAAATTTAGAGTTTTATCTACTGAACAAGTAGCACTGTAAAACAAAACTGAAAGACAGCTTTCAGCCAGACATGGTGGCGCATGCCTGTAACCCTAGCCCTCCAGGAGGCTGAGGCAAGAGATCCGGAGTTCAAGCCCTGTGTGGGCAACTTTGCGAGACCTTGTTCCACAACTTTAAACAAATTTTAAAAGGGCCAGGGTTGTAGCTCAATCTCTAGTACCACAAAAAGTTCCACATACTTCCAAGATTCAAAACTGATTTTCAGTATTTAACCTGAGTTCATCTTCACTGGGCTCAAGTGAAACAGATGCTGTTAGTTTAATTTTATTTTTTAAACTGGATTTTAGAAACAATATAGATTATTCCCAGAGGAAAACCTGCTTCTTCAAAAACACTTTAAAAATATTTTAGAAGCTTACCCCATCTAGTTCCAAGAGGGGTTGGAGTGACAAAATCTAAGACCATCACCTTCTTGCCATATTTGGCTGCCTCCTGGAAAATAAATATTACCAAAATGAGCTGGAAAAGTTAACATCACATACCGGAAGTGAGCTGCTAATATCCATGCTGTTTGTATCAAGCTGTAATGCCTACAGTATAACCAACTATTTTTTTTTTTTTTTTTTTTTTTTTGGTACCGGGGATCGAACTCAGGTCCTTGAGCTTGCACAGCAGGCAGTGAAACCACTCAGCTAAATCCCTGGCCCTAATCAACTATTAATTCTGGGAATTTTACACACATAACGATCAATTCAACTCCAGTGCAAAAATCACAGAGACACTCAAAACAGTTGTATGGGTAGCTTTAAAGATTATGGAGATCCCAGTTGTAAAATTGTTAGAATCAGCTGGAAACCTTACAATCAATCCTCTTATGTAATTGCACTCAACAGACTAAGCAATAATCTGAAACACATGTGGCCTTTTCCAAGCAAATTTAAATAGCTGGTAAAGCCACTTACTGATGGCCTACAGCCCTCGACTCAATGCATATTTACGGAGTTTTACCCAATTCAGTTTCTAAGGCAGAACAGTGCAGAAGCTTTTCCTCTGAAATTTTGAGATTTCCTCAAATTTTCATGTGAGGAGCTCGTTAAAAAGCCGACGTCTGTGGGGTTCCCAACCTGTCTCAGAGTGGGGAGACAGCTGTCAGGGTCACTCTGCAGAGTACCTGCTCCCAGTGGGCGACCAGACCCCACAGGCCCTCTGGGAAGGTGCGGCCTGCGTGTCCAGCACACACAGCGTCGCCACAGTAACATGGTCAGCAGGGGACTGTCCCCGTGTGGGCAGCCGCTGACCATCTTGCCAGGAAGCCGCTAGAGAGGAAGACGGGGCTCAGGGCTCCCCACAGGCACAAGGCAGCTCAGCTGGGGAGAGCCCTCTCCTCCCCGTCCTTCCTTCACATCCTGTCCCCAGCCGGCCCAAGGATCACCTCATAAACCCGAGAGGCAAATCATCTTTGCTTAAGTTCAAGAAATCCAACTGTTCTTCACCTTCCTACTGGACAGAAAAGGGGCTGTGAATATGAAAATCAAAGTGAAAAAAAATCTAAGTCCAGGACTGTATTTATAAAGAAGAAGAAATATATTTGTTTAATGTCAAACCATTTCCACACACCTTTATTATCTTTGAAAAAAAATCAACCAGACCTAAGACGCATGAAAATGTGTCCTGAAACACTGTCCCCCCATACTTTTACATGAAGAACATGTAATTCAATCAGAAGAAATGATTTATAAGTGGGACATTAATATGTCTCGTAGGGCCGGGGATTTAGCTCAGTGGTTCTGCTGCCTGCCTCACAAGCGCAAGGTCCCGAGTTCGATCCCTGGTACCAAAAAAGAAAAGAAGAATTAATATGTCTTGTCTAAGTTAATGTGAAAACAGAAGAATGGATCCAACAAATCCCAGAGAACTTGGGGAACTATGAGGGATGGAAAGACGCTAACCGGAAGCCAGACACCCAACCCAAGGCCTTGCCTTAGCAGCTGCCAGACCACCAGAGCCTCCTCCGATGATGATGAGGTCGAAGTCGTAGGACTCGGGAAGGTCCTCAGAGCCGTTCATTTTTACTGGCTGTTGAAGCTGATCAACCTAAAGACAAACAATTACAAAGAGCAATGTCAAAAAGCATTGTAAGAAAATCTTTCTTTAAAGAAAGCAAAATGAATTTGCAAGAAAAAAAATGCTATTTGACTTAAAGCCTACAAATGAGAACACCCAGCCTTCAAGTGGGGATGGGTACTTGCCTTTCCCTGAAGTTAGGGCTCGGAGGACGGCATCCTCTTCCTCGGACATGTCCTTACTGCACACTTCTAGATTCAAACGGCCTTGTCAGCACAAAACCAACTTAGCCCTAAACTGAGTTTGATCATCAGCCTTTCTTCCTTAGAATTTTCTTTGCTGTTGTTTTTGTTTTGAGACAGGGTCTCACTCACTGTGTAGTTCAGCCTGGCCTTGAACTCACTGTGTAGCCCAGGCTGGCCTCAAACTCATGGCGACCCTCCTGCCTCAGCCTCCCGAGTGCTGGCGTTACAGGTGTGTGCCACCATGCCTGGCTATTTCTTAGAATTTTAAAACCAAGTTTTAAATTAGGTTTTTAAAAACATTTGTACAGTATGTTTTTAATGGAGCTGTCAATGCTCTTTCAGTCATCATCTTTACTCTCTAGTCACAGGCAGAATGACTAAGACAGGGAGGGGCCTAGCACACTGGGGAATAACCCTCTTAATACAGCAATATCAAAGTCAGTCAAATACTTTAAGACTGTTCTTTCTACACTCTTTAGCTGAGACACAAAAATCTAGAGAGATTCAAAACAATCACTGACCTGCATGAAAAGTTAAATATGTAAGAGTTCCTGCTTTTGCAAGGCACGTCACGGTCTGTTTTTACTGTGTTTTTTGCAGGGCTGGGGATCAAACCCAGGACCTTGTGGATCCCAGGCCAAGTGCTCTACCACTGAGCTACATCCCCGTCCTTGTAAGCAATTTTAAATCTGACTCTACAAAGCTCATTCCTTTAAGCTGCAAGTGCTTCAAGTCTCCTGTAATATATTTAGTTTCCATATACTTGGCATGTAACAAACAGGCTTTATAATTTAATTTTTATTAGTACATGTTTGCAGTATGTGAAATTTACATCCATCTTAGGGAGCAGGTCCACGTGCACTGTACTTCTTTTTATTCCTTCCTTCTCCTCCCCAGCCACCTCCTTCCGTTTCTAGTTCCCCTTCCCGTTTCCACTGTTATTATTGTTTTAGTTCATGCTTACAACATATGTTTACTGATATTCATTGTGGGCATTTGGTACATGTACATGGCACACCTTGAATCTTTTTTTTTTTTTGGTACTGGGGATCAAACTCGGGTCCTTGTGCTTGCGCAGCAGGCGGCAAAACCACTGAGCTAAATCCCCGGCCCCATCTTGAATCTTTCTATGTCCCCTTCCTCCCCATACCCTTGGTTTTATTATTTAATTTTTACAAATCTCTTTCATTCCACAGGTTTTTAAACGTATCTTACTCATACTTCATAGCGGTTTGGAACACTGAGTGATCCATTTAAGGCTACCTTTCATTAAAATTTTTAAAAACCTGTGCCAACAAGAAATGACCAAAGTGTTAACAAGCACATTAAAATGGCCTTTTAAAAATCAAGTTTTGACCTTAAAAACCAAAAGCCTTAAACTTACCAGCCCAGACTGCACAGTTTTCTCCTGCCTACAATCAGGTGTGGGGGGTGAAAGTCGGATCTTGGGGTTGGCAGGAGAACGGGTTGCTGGGGACGTGGCAGGGGCTTCTGCAGAGGGAGAAGGAGGTATGGGCCTGCAGGTGCCCAAAGGCAGTGTGGCAGGTGTAGGCGGCGGCAGTGTGGGAGGGAGGACCCCGGGGAGCCAGCGACAGCAGGGGGCCCGCAGCACCCTGACCGTGAGCACCAAAGGCCTAAGGTGAGAAGCAGGAAGACACAGCCAGTACTCACGGCCTGACATCAGGGCCGAGGATCCGCCTTCGATGCCAGGCACTGTTGGGGAGACAAGCCGGTAATAATCGCGTTCAGATGGGAGGGTCAGCAGCATCGAACAGCTAGCTGGCTCAGGGAGGGAAGGAGGACTTGCTGGTTCTGAAGGTTAACAAATAAGTCTAACTTGGTGTTTGAGGGAAATAGCCACTGTTAAATCCCAACCTCATTTTTTCTCAGGAACTTGGTAGAGGTGGTGAAGGAGTACAATCATTAGGTGTCCAAATGAGAACGACCCTTGGGGGCGGCTCTGTCCCAGCACACCTAATAAAAAGAAGTGCATTCTCAGCCCGCAATCTACATCCTCCCTCAGTCCATGTTCACAGTGTGTACTTCACTGAAATTCTCTATTGGACCTGGGTTCTTACAGTTTAAGCTTTAAAGTGAAATTCTAACAAGCAACACACAGATTTTACCAAAGAGCTGAGGACCTGAACATTTTAACTCTGTACAGTGAAACCAGTAAGACACAGTCAGTGGAAACATTCAGGTGACCCTAGAACCAAACTTCATGATTTTACATTTTAACCCAACTTAAAATCGAAATCAGTGCCGCTCAGATTCAGGTCAATGATAGCCCACATGAAACGTAAAGCAGGTAAAAGGTGGGAGACAGCCCCAGACAGCTCAGTAGGCAGAGCAAGGAGAGGAACACAGCCAACCTCCCCAGTTGCCGGAATAATGCTGCAGAGTGGGGACACCAGAGACTCACGCCTTACAGTCTTGGGACCCTTTTACAAGGAATTTTTTATTAATGTGTTTTATCTATTAATATCTACTACACTGAAATTAAAACTAAGAAAAAGTCAAAATATTAACATATTTTAAAATATTAATATACCCGCTATATTAACATAAGTATCCTTGTTAAAATGCTTTAGATTAGCGAGTGGCACTGCTTCCTATCTGATTCTCTCTAATGTCTGGCTTAACAAAAGGCAACGCATCTGCTGTACCACTGCCTGTTGCGCCTGTTGCGCCTGCTGCCAAACTCCGCAGCTGACTTGCAAGAGAATTAGAGGTCTCAAAGTCCCCCTGAAAGGGCCCCAGGGCCCCCAGCCCACACCGAGAGCCACTGCTATAGATGTGAGACACAGCCCAACCACTAGCTATGGATTCCTCAGGAACAAAGGAAAGAGATCTAAAAAGTCTGAGGAACCATTAGGATGTCACCACGGAGTTTCCTGGCCCTGATCTGGAGAAGGGAGCAGAAACACACGTGTCCACAAACATGGGACAAATGCTATGCTGGGTGTCACACACAGGAATTCCTCGCCTCTCCTCACTACATTGTCTACTAAGCAAAGGGTGTTCCTGCTTCCCATGTGAGACAGGGGCTGTGAGATTAAGAAATCTACTCACCAGTCAAGAACTGAACCCAGGTCTGTATGAATACAAATCTACTGCTTTTCCCACTCTACCAGGTCTGGTAAGTTTTATTCCAAAGCAGCTGTTGCATACATTTTCTAATCTAATCCTTACTGCAATCTTAAGCGACAAGCACTATACTATCAAAATCTCAGGTTTACGATTACTCTGCCTAAAGTGCACAGCTAGAATGTCACAGGGTTGGGACTGATCCTTTACTGTCAGATCAAGGGTGACAGACACTAGAGGGTTACACTCCCCGATGTGAGAAAGGGGCAAGAAAGCCTGCTTTAGAAATGAGTTTCAAAGATTCACGAGGAAGTTCCATTTTTTCCTGAAATTCTCTATACCATACTACTGGCAAGGAGGCCTCCATACACAAACATGAGCACCACTGTCTCAATCTTGGTCACTGGTCTGGATTTCCCCTCCCAGCACCACACACCTTACCAGGAAAGTGCTGTACACTGTTAAGTATAACTAACAGGTATTCACTCACCACATTGGCGGCACAATTCCTTTACTGCCAACGACTAAGTGCCTGAAGAGTTGCTGCTTACGGGCGTGTTCCCTGCACCTCCTCAACCTGTCTTCTCAATGACCAAATTTTTGGCAATGATCTCCAAGTAAAGTTGGAATTTGTATTTTCTTTTTCCTGCGGTGTTAGATCAAACCCAGAGCTTCACGCACGTCAGGTAAACACTCTACTATTGAGTGATGTATCCTAGCCCCATAAATATATATTCTTAAAACTAAGCACCCAGGCCAGGGATGTTGCTCAGTGGCATCATGCCTGCCTGGCAAGCACAAGGTCCTGAGTTTGATCCCCAGTGCCTCAAAAAAAAAAAAAAAATCCTCTAGATTTACACTAAGTGAAGAACATCTGTTATAACTTATTTAGCTTAGTTTTAGATAAGTGATACATATTTTAACTCAAATAGGGATAGTTTCTAGTTTATTAAGAAATGCAAAATTGGGACAAATATTCAAAGTTGCAGTGACGTGCCACGCAGTAAGCAGTGAGGACGCGCACATTTTCGGCTCCATCTTTGAGGTGGTAGCTGGTGGGTCCACCACTGTCAACTTGCAGCTGTCTGTCCTAGCCCAAGGCCTACCCACCCTTAAAGTGACCAGGGGGGAGCCGGTCCCCAGATCAAGGCTAATGTGGCCTCCCTGGAGGGACCAAGTTGCACTCCTGGCAGGCAAGTGGCTGAAGGATGAGGCCACCCTAGGCCAGTGTGGGGTGAAGCCCTGGCCACTCTGAGGTAGCTGCCCACATGCTTGGAGGTAAAGTCCATGGTTGCCTTGCACAGGCTGGAAAAGTGAAAGGTCAAACTCCCAAGGCAGCCAAAGATAAGACAGCCAGGCCAAGCCACAGATGCAGTACAACCGATGGCGCTCTGTCTAGGTCATGCCCACCTTTGGCAAGAAAGTCCCACTGCCCACTCTTAAATCCCATGTAAAACCACACATGTACACAAAGTTTTTACATGTTACTGATTCTGAAGGACAATCTAAAACACTGGAGACCAGGAAAGAGATTAACCAGTAAGGCAGCTCACAGCTGTGTTTTGGGGTGACAAAATTTCTTTCACCTCCAAGGATACTAATAGCTCATGCAATTCTCATCCAGCTTAATCTGTAGGTTCCACTGTGCCTTCTCACAACTCCAGACATCTGCCCTTGTTACTTCCCTGCCTAGAATGCCCTTCCATCTACTAATCCCTACTCTATTCAGTGCTTAGTTGATGTCTTCACTATAGTGAATCTTTGTTGAATCCACTTACAGAAATTGTTTAGAATGAGTGCCCACTCTTTACAGTGAAGTGAGGCATCTTGATTTGTCTTAACCTTGCATATTAACTGCCTTACAGCATTTTTCTTAACTGTTCTGCTCACTCATTCCCCAACTTGTTTAGTAGACCTTTATGGGCTTCTACCTGATTCACATACAGGGGGCAATGCAGAATCACCCAACACAGGGGGTGATACTGGGGATGGACCAGGATGCTCAGCCACACCCCAGCCCTGTCGGTTTTATTTTGATAGGGTCTTCCTAAATGGCTCCTGCTGGCCCGGAAGTTGGATCCTCCTGTCTCAGCCTTCTGTGCAGCTAGGAATGCAGGTGTGATCCACGACACCCAACCCAATACCTTCTAGTTGATGAAATTCAGAACTTATTATTAATGATAGGGCAATCAAAAAATTTCCCATAAGCAAGCTGGTGAGTGTTTAATAACAGATCATGACTTTATGAATTACAAAGAAAAACACACTATACAGAAAAACAATTTCAGATGGTCTCAAAAATACTTTTTGGAAGAGATACAGTACGTGCTTCAAAAAACAAAACAGACTGCTGCCCCACGAAAATCTTTAGCTTGAGCTTGTGATCATGGCCTGGGAGATCTTGAACGTGGCCACGATATCCTCCCAGTCCTGTAAAGTCAAGGCTATAACTTCCTGCTTCCTGCCGTAGGTGCTAGGCTCGTCTTCACCCATCTGGCTTGGATCCACGGGTTCTAGTACTGGCAGCCCGTCTTGGTCCAGCCTCATTCTTGCAAAGCCGTCTCTTATGATGAAGGAAACGTGGAACATGTTCTCCACGGTGCGCGCAAACGAGTGGGGGTCCACCACGAACTCGAAATAGGACACGGGCAGGCCGAGGCACTGGCGGAAGTAGGCCTGCAGCAGCCCCAGGGTGCGCTCCACCTGCTGCTCCGTGGCCTCCTGCCGGGCGCCGAGCTCCAGGCGCGCCAGCTCGGTGGGCATGGCCGGGCCGCCCTCTACTTTGGGCGCCTTGCGTGGCCGCTCCTGCCGCGCCGGGGACTCCAGCCTCAGGGGGCCGAGGAGGAAGTGGAAGGTCTCGGCCTGCGCCACCCACGCCGTGGCCTCGCGCTGCATGGCGTCCCAGAAGGCCAGGCCCGCGCCGTCGCCGCCTTGGCCCTGCTCAAGCACCACCTCCAGCCAGCTCAGGCCGGCGAAGGCCAGCAGCAGCTCCCAGAAGGCGGCCAGGTTGAACACGTTCAGGTCACAGTTCAGCTGCCGCGCCTTGGCGCAGCCGAGGTCTGAGGCCAGCACCAGGAACCGCGCGTCGAGGGCGGCCTCGCGTGTGCGACTCACGCCTTCGAACAGCGCGTCCGCCTCCTCCAGCGCCTCGGCCAGCGCCTGGCCCGCCGTGCTCACGGTGGCGTCGCGCCGCTGCTGCACGCTGTCCATCAGCTGCCGGTATTGCCGGCGGGTGCGGCGGCACTGCTCCTCGTCGGCTGGCGCCAGGAAGCCCACGGGCAGGGCGGAGGAGCCCCGGCTCCTCTCTTCCAGGGACCCGTCGGGGCCCACAGCCTCCGCCTTCACCTCGAGTTCCCTCAGGCAAGCCTGGCCGCCAGCCATGGCGGGGGCGAGGTCGGGCGGCGCGCAGCTACCCCGGCTCCCACAGGCTCCCGGTCCGTTAGAGTGGGGGCTGCACATGCGCACTGAGGGCAGCTCGCAGCGCGGATCGCCCCACCCCATCTGGCAGGAGGCAAGGATGGCTCCGCCCCCACCGGCTCCCCTTCACGCACACACCCTAGCAGCGCACTGAGCCTGCGCTGTAGGAGCCCGGCCCCACGCTGGAGCCTTCTAGAACAGCTACTGTGATTTCCAGTTTAAAGAAAACGCTTCTAGACAACTCTGTGACAAGGTTTAGCGGGGACTAGCGGTCCTGCGCCTTAAAACGTTCCGTCCGTCGACCTACACCTCTCGTTCTTAGGATGAAGAGGTGTTTTTGGGTTTTGTTCGGTTTAGTGCGGTACTGGGCACTGAACTCAGGTCCTTCACACTGAGCTACGTTCCCAACGCATTTTTCTTTTAATTTTTAAAAGAAAGAGCAGTTTAATTTGGCTCACACCATTTCTTATTTTGAGAAAGGTCAGAGTCACCAAGTTGCCCGGTCTTGGCTCGAGCTGGTGATTCTCCTGCCTCAACCTCCCGGAGTGCTGAGGTTACAGGTGTGCAACACCATACCCAGCTTTTTTTGTTTTTAAGAGGCTGCATTCGTCAGGCCATGGCTCCCAGGGTGCAAGGGAGAGTGGCCGTCACCAGCAGAGAGTGAATGCTGCAGGCCTACCCAAAGAGGACCAGCACAGGGCCGGGGATTTAGCTCAGTGGCACCTCGCCTGCCTCGCATGCGCAAGGTCCCGAGTTCGATTTCTGTACCGCCAAAAAAAAAAAAAGACCAGCACACTCCCAGCTGACAAGATCAAAGCTCTCAGGGCTGCAACAGGTGTCCCCTGGGAAGAAAAGAAAGCGGGACACACTGCACCTATGGGGGTGGGGCTAGGAGGAATGAAATAGTAACCGCCCCTTTGCCCTCTTGTGCGTCTACACTGGGTCATTTCTCTTTGGCATCAGCAGAAAATTTCTTGCAAATACATGAAACGCAAATCCTGGTATTTGTTCCTCCAAAACCCTTATGTCACAATACAACCCCAACTGTTTTTTAAAGGGCACGCCTGACTAAAGTGCACGCCTGTAATCTCAGCACATAGGAGGCTGAGCCAGGAGGATCACTGCAAGTTCAAGGCCAGCCTGGGCTACATAGTAAGTTCAAGACCAGCCTAAACTACACAGCAAGACCTTGTCTCATAAATAAATAAGTAAATAAATTAGGGGCAATTCAGGAAGAAATCTGCTTTCCAGCAACACTGTAGATTATGGTTACCTAGCATGTACACACTGTATATGCTGCTCCATTATAGACTTCGACATTCTCAAAGACAAAAACTTGGTTTTAAATCCTCAAACACAATTGCTGAAATGCACTTAAGGCACAGATGTACTGAGTATGCACTGACCTCGTAAATTAATCTATGTTTACAACCCAGGTCCAGTACTTACTGAAAGATGTCAGCAAAGATTAATTTCACAGAAGGAATAGGTCCTACACATTGAAAATAAAAGTTAACTGCAACCTGAGATCATGGAAAAATAAAGCTGAGACCCAGGATCATGAAAGGGCCTCATTCTCCCAGTCTGTCTTGCTACATACTAACATTCAAACCTTTTTTTTTTTTTTTGGTACCGGGATCGAACTCAGGTCCTTGCGCTTGCGCAGCAGGCGGCGAAACCACTGAGCTAAATCCCTGGCACCTATTTTAAATCTTTGGTGAAAACAGAGTTAAGAATTCTAAGATCCAAACCCAAAAAGGTTTGCTTTTCCAGTGGCCCATATTCTCAGGAGTTTATGATATTCATTTTGATTGTAATAATAATAAAAGCAACCTATAAAACAGCTCCAAAACACAGGAGCCCCACCCCACCCCCACTCGGGAGGAAAACAGGCTGATACCAATCTGCTCCCTATACAGCCCCCTGTAAGCACTGCAAAATGCTTTAGGAAATGTATTCATTCTCCCAGCCTACTTCAAAAGCATCATCACTAAAGTGTCTGCAGGGATTTCTCAGAATATAACAGCCCACCTAGCTTGCTCACAGTAACAGCACATTAGAACAAGCACCACACACCACTGAACTGTGACTTCTGGCTCTGAATTCAATCTGTGCTGGAGCCCGGTACCACGAAATCTTAGGAACCCGGGATGTAGCTCACTCTCAGGCGGACTTCCTACCTTATATTTTAGCCTTAAAGACCCACCTCTTGCGCTGTTACCTTTGCTGCCTTGTGCGTGCCATGTTGTTTCTCCCCTGCGATGCCTGTTTGCCATCCCAGCCTCGCATTGAAACCTCTATGAACTGTAAGCCAAATAAACCCCTTCCCCTCTAACTTTGGGTGTCGGGTATTTTGTCTCAGGAGAGAAAGGTAACTAACACAGTAAACATATTTTCTTTATACATTCATCTGATGATGGGCATACAGGCTGTTTCCAAGATTCAGCTATTATGAACTGTGCTAATATAAACTTGGGTGTGCATGTACTACTGTTATCTGATGTCTTTAACTCTTCTGGGAAGATACTAGAAGGGGAACAGCTAGGTCAAATGGAATTTCCACTTTAGGTTTTTTTGAGGGCTCTCCACACTGATTTCCACAGTGGTTGTACTATCCACCGACAATATGTCTTAACTCTTTTCTCTCCTCAGCCTCTGCAGCATTTGTTATTATTTGATATCTTGATGATGGCCATTGTTGCCGGAATAAGACAGAATCCTAGCATTTCTCTATTGGCCAGTGATACTGAACGTTTTTTCATGAATTTATTGTACATTTGTACTTACTCTATCAAGTGTCCCTTGGCCACTTTTTACTACTGGGTCTCTTATTTTGGGGGATCTAATAATTTTTTAGTTCTTTATGTATTCTGGGTATAGTCTCTGAGGACTTACTGGCAAATTCATTTCCCATTCTGTACGTTTTCTTTTAAATCTGATTTTTGTTTCCTTTGTTGGGCAGGTCTGTAATTAGATATGATCCCATTTTGACTCTCAGTACTACTTTCTGTACAACCAGGTTTCTGTTCAGAAAGGGCTTACTGGGTCGGGGATTTAGCTCAGTGGTTTTGCTGCGTGCTGTGCAAGCACAAGAACTGGAGTTAGATCCCTGGTACAAAAAAAAAAAGCAGAAAGGACTTACCTATGACTTTAAAAGTTTTATGTATTTTATCTTCCAACAGGTTGTGTTTTTAATATTAAGTTCTTTGACTCATTTTGATTTTAGTTTAGTATATGGTGAGATATTGGTCTAGATTCAATTGCACGCATAGCCACTTTACACACCACCATTTACTAAAGAGGCTCTCTTTCCTACAGTGTATGTTTTTAGTTCCTTGCACTTCTTTCTGCATCCTTTTTGTTCCATTGACCCTATTTGTCTTTGTATCGACACCATGCTGTTTTTATCACTAACTTCCAAGTCTGGGTTTGTGCTACTTCCTGATTCGCTCTTATTACCCAGGATTGCCTTTTCTGGGTCTTTTCTTGCTCCCTCTGAATTTTAGGGCTGTTTTCTCCATTTATGTGATGAATGGTATTGGATTTCTGATGGGAATTGTGTTAAATCTGTGTATCAGTTTTGGAAGTATAGCCATATTGACTATATTGGTTCTGCCTATCCAGAAACAGGGAATATCTTTCCATTTTCTGACGTCATCTTTGATTCTCTTTTTCAGAGTCCTATAGTTTTTATTGTAGAGCTATTTTACTTTCTTGGGTTAATTTTTAAGTATTTAAATTTTCTTAGTATTATTATAAATGGTATTTTTCCCTAATTTCTTTTTCAGTGGGTTCACTATTAGTGTACAGAAATGCTACTGGTTTTTGTGTGTTGGTTTTGCATCCTGCTACATTACTGAACTTGATTACTAATTCTAGGAGCCTTTTGGTGGACTTTTTGGGTCTTCTATGTAGAGGATCGTTATCATCTGCAAATAATAATGTGACTTCTTCCTTTCCTTTTTATTTCCTTTTTTTGTCTAATTGTTCTTGGTAATGTTGAGCTTGCTCTGTTTAGTCTTTTTTTTTAATGTGGGCATTTACAGCAATAAACTTCTCTTAGGACTACTTTCACTGTGTTCCATGGGTTCTGGCATATTGTACTGGCATTATCACTGTATTTTAGAAGTTGTTTAATTTCTTCCGTGACTCACTGAATGGTCAGGAAATGTGTTATTTAATGTCCAGGTGTTTGTAAAATGTCTGTGGTTTCTTTTAAGATTGATTTCTTATACTGCACCATGATCTGATAGCATATAGAGATGATTTTGATTCTTTGCATTGATTTAAGCAGGTTTTATGGACCAAGATACTGTCTGTTTTGCAGAAAATTCTATGTGCTGCTGAGAAAAAAATGTGTATTCTGTTATAGTAAGGTAGGTCACACCATAGATATCTGTTAAGTACATCTGTTCTAAGGTTTGACTCGCCTGGTATTTCTTCATTAAATTTTTGGTTTCCTGATCTATTTGTATTCTTTTGATTTTGTTTTTTGGTACCGGGGATCGAACTCGAGACCTTGTGCTTGTGAGGTGGGCTGCAGAACCACTGAGCTCCATCCCCGGCTTGTTGATCTATTTGTGAAAGTGGGGTGTTAAGGTCATCCTATGATTGTTTTTATTTGATCTTTTATTCTCAGTAGCATTCTCAGTAGATAGATGGATCAATCAAACAAGAAATAAAAATCCACCTCTTGAGCACAAGGTTATAACATCACTGCAAAGGAAAACAATCTCAAGTTTAATGATTTTTTCCCTAATCACTTAAATGGGACTTCTACATATGTGAATCTTTAAATCATTAAAAGTGATTTTCTAACATAAGGCTAGCTCACTTATGATCACTTAAGTACAACTTTAAAAGAAGGAATGGCAACATATAATTTAAAGTTATGCTGGTGAACTTTTCTATGACTACGAACGAAAACACACTGTTCCTTTGAAGGCCTCACTGAAGTCTGCTTCCTCAGGCAGCAAGAACTGTGCCAGCAGCCCTGGGACACCCAGTGGCTTCCCCAGTTTTCCTCTTTGCTGTCTGAAGAGTTCTGGCCTAGGATTCAGTACAACCCACTTCCTTTCTCCTGCATATTATTTTTCAGTCTCCTTCCTAGCAGTTCTAATTCAAGAATTCCAAGCATTCTTCTGATCCTTCTCAGAAACCCTAGTGCTCACCACAAATCCTGGTGGGACACTCGACGGGCCACAGGTCTATATACGGCCAAGTCACGAAAGGCCTCCCAGGGCCACTCACTTCTGCAAGGCTAATCCATAACAAATGGATTTTTATGAGACTTTTTGGAGGCAAAACCAGGAAGTAGGTTTGAGTCCCACACTTGAACAGATATACTTGTCCTGCTTTCAAACACTGTGTACTTATCCTCCCTGCATTTTTCTGATGCTTTTTCCTCTCAACCCACCTAGGTGTCTGTCTAATACTGAGTTGTGAAGAGATGTGCTAAGAGCTCTAGTATGACATGCCACGGTAGCAGGCTAGGAGGTACATTTTCTCTTCCATCTTAATTTCCTTTGTCGTCCCCACCCCACCCCCTGCCAGGAATTGAACTCAGGAGCTTGAGCTTGCCAGGCAGCACAGTGTTTGTGTCTATATATTTTTGCACTCTTTGGTTTTTAGTATGTATTAGAGATAAACTGGTAAACTTGGCTGTGATCAAGATAGCTGTTTTTAAAATGATCTTCTAGAGCAATGGATTGTGGAAAGAGACAAACGTGGGTTCCAGTCTTGCCCCATCAGCTACTGATATGGTCCTAAGTGGGTGGCTTAAGCGCTCAGCCTCCGGTGACCTTGTGTGAGATGGGAAGGCTGAGCAGTGAGAAGTGAATGGGGATTGTGAGGGGTTAGGCAGTGTTCTCAGCTAATGAGCAGGTACTTATCCCACAGACAGCCTCGGTTTAATAAACAAATACTACAAAAGAAAGCTTGTAAACACACCAGTAGTTTCATTCCTTGCTTTAGGAACAAATACATATATATTTAAAGTGGGATATAAAGAAATATATCCTACTCTAGAAAATACCACTGAAAAGAAACTTGCCATAACAAAAATTTAAATCTACTAAGCTTTCTACTTCTGAAAGTATTCAGCTTGGAGGGGTAAACTTCTCTTTCAGACATTCTGAAGCAAACCCGCTTGAGTTTGTATGTAAACTGTTTTGTTTATTTTCCTCATGAATGGCTCCCTGGATGTCAGCAGAATCTCTGAAAACTGCAGTATCCAAAAGAGGCTCTAGGGCTGGGGATTTAGCTCAGTGGTTCCAGCGCCTGCCTCGCAAGTGCAAGGTCCCAAGTTCAATCCCTGGTACCCAAAAAATAAAAATAAAAAAATTTAAAAAAGATAACTTTCAAAAGAGGCTCTGAACAGCTCTCTGCTCAAGGAGGAGGGCTCAGCATTGTGAGTGTGGCTCGAAGTGCTGGAACCTCCTGTGCCGGGCAAAGCTACAGCCCCAGCCCAAGACAGCATCACTGGTGGTGAAGAAACACCAGCCTGAGGTCAAGGCACACTCGACAGTGCGGACCCCCATGCCGAAACGCTCTGCCCTTCAGAAAGCCACCACCTCGCTGGGTGAGCACTTCAAGACTGTGCCAGACCCTCAGGAGCACCCCGGAGGGCAGAGGCTCCGGGTCAGACAGGGGCGTCCAGCAGCGGGCCAGGGGCAGGGGCACTGGGTGTGTGGCTGTCCTGGGAGTTTGGCCCTAGAGGCCTGTCTCAAGAAGAAACCTGCTTTCTTAGCTTCCACTGACTTTCTTCAGTGTCTTAAGACTTTCTCTTCCGTTTGTAAACAATCAGTCTGTTGGTTATCTCACTTGCCTTACAGTGTTCATGACCTTTCTGAGAAAAAGCTCACGTGGGAACATTTACTATGTATGTACATTTCCCAGTGCTGGGGATTGAACCCAGGTCTTGCACAAGCTGGGCCAGCTCCACCCCCAGCACCAACAACCACACCTTAGATCCAACAGCATGGCAGACCCGAGTCAGGAGGAGGCGCCTGGTGAACAGCAGTGCAGACCCGAGGGGTTCAGCCCGCAGTGAACCCGGGCACGCCTGCACACCATGCTGAAGGGCGCCATGCTAGTGTCCTCCAGCCCCAAGTTCAGAGCTGCTCCGCACCTTGCTGCGGAGATGCTCCTCTCAAGGCTGAGGGACCAGAGTCCCTCCCTGATCCCGACCCCAGCACCCGCTCTCTCCAGTGTTTACCGTATGCCACGGGGGGACAGAAATGCATCACTCTCAGTGTACCGGGCACCATGGGATGCAGCTCCTTCACTCCAAAAGCCCACCACAAGCAGGGGCCATGCCAGGACCATCAGGCAGGCCGCCCCACAGCCTCCAGGAGCAGCACCTCAAAGCCAGGGCCAGGAAGACAACATGCAGGCCCCAGGCCCAGCCTGGCACTCTGTTAGCTGTGTGATCCTCCCCTGCTCAAGACGGAAGACAGGTCAGGGATGGAGTATGGATCAGGACAACGGAAGGGCAGCTGAGGGACTGTGGGTGCGCGCAGGTCCCCACAAGCCCGCAGTGCAGCAGAAGACCCACAGGGCGCAGACCACCAGGCCGGGAGCAGCGCTGCAGCCTGCACGCAGGTGTGGGCAGGAAGTGGCCATGAGGAGGGGCGGCTCAGGCGAGAGGAGCACCCCGTCCTGTCCAGGCAGCAGGGACACATGCGGGAGAGCCCACCCAGATGAACAGACAGGTCAGAGCAAGCATGCTACCGTGAGGGCAGGGCAGCGAGAGCTCTGGGTGTCACCCTGGGAGTCCGGCTTCTGTGACTTTAGAAGGCCGCCTGAGAGCAGCCTGTGTCAGCGTCTGGCCCCGAGACTGGGCCCTGGGGCCACTGAGGCCCTGACAACAGGGTTGCCCGTGCTCCGCTGGCACTGTCTGCACACCACGTGGGTGTCCACGCTCACGCACTGCTCGGTCACCTTCTCTATCACTGTCACCAAAAAGAGATGACTTAAGTCCCCTACGGTGGGCTTTAGTCCTGCCTAAGCCTGACAGTATCAGCTAAGTACTGGTGCTTTCACTTTTCTCTTCCCCTTAGTACCACCAAGAGGCTTTTATACTTTTAAAACTGGAATCCTGGAGACACTGACTCGCTTGTATGGCAGGCTCCCTATAAGAATATTTGTTATCCTGCCTTAAAAATTAAGGTATTAGGACCGGGGATTTAGCTCAGTGGCACTGTGCCTGGTTTGCAAGTGTGAGGTACCCCAAAAAAACCAAAAACAACTAAGATATTAAGCCAAGCGTGGCGGTGCATGTCTGTGATCCCAGCACTCAGAAGGCTGAGTGAGGCAGGAGGATCGAGGTGACGCCAGCAGGTGGGAACTGACTATTGTAGTGAGTTCAAGGCCAGCCTGGGCTACATAATGAGACCCTGTCTCAAAAAATAAATGAATAAAAGAATAAATAAATAAAAAATAAATGAATAAAATAAAAAAGGGAGCCGGGGTATAACTCTGTGGTAGAGCATGCTTGAGTAGCATGCATGAGGCCCTGGGTTCAATACACAATACCAGAAAAAAAAAAATTAAACGTCAGATCTCATCAGTAAAGTAAGTTCCAAAGCTTACAGAATGATTCTTTTTGGCCCCACTGACATTAAAGCCAGTAGCATTGGGCGGGGGATTTAGCTCAGTGGTACGGATGCCTGCCTCACAAGCACAAGGTCCTGAGTTTGATAGATGGTACCAAAAAAACAAACAAAATCCAGAAGCATTAGCAGGATTAATAATAAAATGCCGGGGATTTAGCTCAGTGGTTCTGCCACCTGCCTTGCAAGCGGAAGGATTCGAGTTCGATCCCCGGTACCATAAATAAATAAATAAATAAATAAATAAAATGCCTGTATAACTTTATAAATGTAAATTTACGACACAGGTAAAGAGAAAATAGGCTGAAAAAACATTAATAGACCTCTGACTCATTTTACTTGCAAACTAAAGTTCTGAGTAACACAATTACTTTAAAGCTTCCTTACGTCCTTTAATGTTTTTCATTTGCTGTGTCTTTGAAGTCTAGCTCCATTTCCTACACTCCTTCAAAAAAGGTAAATATGGGCCGGGGATTTAGCTCAGTGGTTTAGCTGCCTGTTGCACAAGCACAAGGACCCGAGTTCAATCCCCGGTACCAAAAAAGGTAAATATGATTCTTTCAGAAGCAAGAAAATATAGGAAATAAAAATACAAGCAAATGTTAATAACTCTCCTAAGGGCGAGCCCATCTATAAATGGATCTTCAACCCCGGCCGCAGGTTCACCCCCGAGACAGCAATGTTCCAATGTTCGTACTCAACACAGGGACAGGAAGGGTGTGAAGCCCAGAACAGAGCGTCCAGGTATCCTCCGGGCTCACAGCCTTTCCTCGCCCCCAGGGACGGCCCAGGAGGGAGGCACCGCGCCTGCAGCCCCAGGAAAGGGCTCTCCTTCCCGGCCACCCGGGTCGGGGCTAGAAAAGGCGGCAGGTGGAAAGTGACTTCTCCCGGGAGCCCGGGGTCACAGAGTATGCAGGGCGCTAACCTGTTTAGTTCCTGTACTAACTGGGAGGGAAGGAGGAGGGGAAAACGAGACACAAAGGGCACCAGGAAAGTACTATTAAAAGATGAAAATAAGCCCGTACTTCCCGCCGTCTCCCCTTGCTCCGAATTGTACCGGGGCTGATCAGCCCTGATCCTCACGGCGCTTCCCCGTCCTCCCCAGGGGGTCGGGCATCCCGGCCCGGCCCACGGCCCTGCCAGAGCGGCTCTCCTACCTGCCTGGTCGGACCGTGACCCCAGCAGGTCCGCCTCGGCCCTCTTGGCTCCCGGGCAGGAGCCTCAACGCACAAAGAGGCTGCGTGCGCCCCGGCGGGCGGGGCTTCCGGCGCGTCCCTTGCGCCCCCGGGCTCGCCTGCCACTCACAGGCCGGGCTCCGCGGGCCACCGGGACGCCGGCCGGCAAACGTGCAGGCGCGCAGGAAACGTGGTCCGGGGGACCGGCCCCGCTCCTCCAGGGGACGGGAACTCCAGCGCAGGGGAAGCCGCGCGCTTTCCCGGCCGCACACGGAGCCCGCCTCGCTCTCGCCCTGGATTCTGCACGCAGACACCGCACCCAGCGCACAGCCCTGCGAAGCGCGACGCCCAGGGCAGCGCAGCCGCTGCTGACCCTGCAGGCCGGCGCCGATCTCCACAGTCGCCTCGGGTGTCGGTGTCACCCGGCCACTCGCAGGGGGAAACTGGGGCACGGGCAAGCCGAGGATCGCACCGGGGCGCCCCCGCCAGGCCCGAGTGGGGTGCGTGCCCGACCCGGGGTCCTGCTGCCGCCCCTCCCGCGTCGCCGCGCACTCACCTCGCCGCGTGTGAGGCGCCAGCCCCGGGACAGGACGGGACGGGACGGGACGGGACGCTACGACGCTCCACTCCGCTCCGGCTCCGGCCGGACGCCGACTGCTTGCCCGGTCCCTGGGGCCTCCTAGTATTGCCACAAGCCCCGCCCCGCGCTCGGCGGCTGGGCGGGCTCGGGACACAGTCAGGGTGACAAAGCAAAACTCCGTGGGGCGCGCGCCGCCAGCCGGCACTTGGGGAGCCCTGCCGCCCGCCACCCCCTCGACGGCGGGGCAGTTTCGGGTCCCGGCCCCCGACGCTCCCGGCCTGGGCTCCACACTCTGGCCTGGCGGCCCTGGGCCTTCGTCTGCGGGACTCCGAGGGCGCCGAGCCCTGGGCAGCAGCGAGGGGCCGACTGCCCTACGCCCTGGGATACTCAGCCCAGTGATTCCGGGAGGAAGTTACAGCGTTTTTAAAGAAATGCCCAGCGCATCCTGACTAATCGTCTGGCGAGTGACGCCTTCGCACACCTCAGACCTCCCCGGGGACTCGGTTCCTCTCCTCTGCGTCCCGCTCCCGGTGCTGGGCCCGCCGCCCCTCGCTCAGCGCCTCCTCCACCTGGCCCTGAGCACGCCCGGGTACATAAATAAGCGCGCCGCTCCGGAGGCACCGGCTGGAAGGTAGCCGGCTCCGCACTCGGAAACCACACCTCTGACCTGGGGCCACCGCCGCCACTGCCAGCCCCTTCCCAGGTGAAAGTCAGGCAGGTGTAGCCTCAGGCCCAGCCCTGCGCACTTCGCACTTCCCGGCTGCACTGAGTAGGCGAGTGCCCCACCTAGAAGACAGGATGGGCTTGGCGTGGGCGCCCAGGAAACAGTGATGAAGGGGTAAAGAAGCCAGCAGTGGTGACCCACACCTGTCATCCCAGCACTCTGGGAGGCTGAGGCAGGAGGATCATGAGTTGCAGCCCAGCCTGGACAACTTAGCGAGTTATCAAGACTCTGTCCCCAAACCAAATCAAAACAGGGCTGGGAATGTAGCTGTGTGAAGGCCCAGGGCCCAGTCCCAGACACATGAGCAAGGAGTTAAAACTGAGGAGAAAGAAAGCTGGGACTGAGGGAGAACACGCAGTCTGTTCCTGGCTCTCCTGAGCAGAGCTAACCATTCCCTAGCCTCACCTCACTCTGCAGCAGCAGCCCTGGCCCAGACCACAACTCCTTATTCTGAAAATGGGACCAAACTCCAGCTCATTTTAACCCCAGTTTGGAACCCACACGTGGCCGACTACACCTGTCATCCAACAGGCAGCTGAATTCCATAAAAATTAATATATGAGGGCCGGGGATTTAGCTCAGTGGTTCCGGCGCCTGCCTTGCAAGCCCAAGGTCCCGAGTTTGATCCCTGGTACAAAAAAACGATACATATATGCAAAAATTAATATACGATCAGAGAGGGCTGGGCTCTCCAGGAAGTCAATGAAAGGTGGAGACATCAGCTTTGTGGCTGGCAGGCCCATCGGAAGAAGGCAAGGCCCCGAGATTACACTGCCCCCTGTGATGGCACACGCCTGTAATCTCAGCACTTGGGAGACAGGCAGGAGGACTGCCACAGTTTGAGACCAGCCTGGACTGCACAGTGAGACCCTGTCTCAAAAAATAAATAAAAGAATGAAAAGAAAATGACAACAGCCAGGCTTACATACTGCCCTAAGGGATGAATGGAAATTGAGACTATATGGTATGATATTTGGTACCAACCATTAAATCCAGATATGCATCAGAAGCGGGTGGGTGAACAGAACACCCAGCCCACCCCTTCCCCAAATGTTCCCGGTTTAGAAGTCACGGATAAGCCAAGGTTAATGACGTCAGCCATATGCCTTTGCTACCTTTGCTTCCCTATGGATCAATATTAGCTAAGCGGCTGTACTTGTAATCTTACTGGTTTATTACAGCTTGACTCACGTTGTACCCGCCTCTTGATTTTGCCCTATAAAACATTCTCGGAGAAATGACCTTTGTGGCAACCCACTCAGGACCCCTCTTGTCCTTCAGGAGCTATTATTCCTAGTCCCCAATAAACCTTTCCTTACTCTTCACCTCCTTTGTCCTTTGGAATTCATTCCTTGATTTCAGGGGACAAGAACTCAGCACATCTGACATCTAGCAGGTTGGAGTTATAGTTCTCCTGTATCATTCCCAGCACTCTGGGAGGCTGGGGCAGGAAGATGGTACACTTGAGCCCAGCCTGGGCACTTTAGCAACTCAGTAAGATCCTGTCTCAAAAAATTTTAAAAGGGCTTAGGGTGTAGCTCAGTACAAAAAAAAAAAAAAAAAGACTTAGGGGTGTTTCAGTCACATGACTTGAAAGGGTGTACCAAATACCAGTGACACCGAGAGCTTTGACCAGGGCTAGATAAGGAATTTTAACTGAATTGTTCCTGGGCTAAAGAGGAGCTTCCCCTCCCCCACTTCCCACCATGCAGCCTCATTCTAATCCCATAGCTGCAGTCTCTTGGCTGGGCTCCTATTACCCTCCCTGGCTAAAGTGACCTTCTCCCCCTGACAGCCTAGTCCACAGAAGCCCATTGAAAGGCCACCTCCTCTGGAAGGGCTTCCCCAATTCCCTCCCACCCCGGGCTTATCTCCTTCCCTCTCTGTGTCCCCAAGTCCTTAACAGTATCACACATCTCCTAAATACATTTGTACTTGGAAAGGCAAGTCCTTGTTCTGTCTCTCTTCCCCAGAACCTGGCATACAGAGGGTGCTCTGAAAACTCCAGAAAGGCCCCCGGGCCTCCAGGCCTGCTCTGAGCTACAAGGTGGTTCCAGGCGTTTGGCCCAGGGTCCCACTGCATCAAACACTCCCCACCCATAACAAGCCTCCCCACACCACTAGGCTAGAACCATCCTCTCCAGGTCTGGGAGGTCAGCTGTCTAAATGGAGGTGCTGGGTCGGCAGCATGAACCTGGGGTTCAGGAGAGGTCCTAGCTGGAGAGAAGATGGGGAGTCAGACATGAAGATAGTTAATGCCACTGTCCATGAGGGCTCTCCAGGAAAGCAGACTGGCAGGGTAGGGTGTGAAGGGCTGGCTCACTGACCCTAAGGCTGAAATCTGTAGGGCTGGGAATGCAAGCAGCATCCAGACAGAATCTTCCTCCTCACTCCTCAGGGCCCTCAGACAACTGGGAGAAGCCCACAGGCATGTGGAGGGAAGCCTGTTTCGCTCAGGCTACTAAGTTCAAGTGCGCATTTCCAGAAGTATGCAGCCCACACGCAGCCCTAGGCCACCCTGTCTTCTGCGAGACCCTCTAATTATGTGCTCCCCGACTCCCTGCAGTGCCTGGCTCACTCAAGTATTCTGTGAGTCTAGTTCAAACACGCCTTCCCTGAAATCCCCCTCCACAACGCTCCCATGCCCCGGTGCGTTCTTTATACTGACAGCAATTCCAAGTATACTTTTATTTACAGCGAGATCCATGTCAGCCTCCCAAATAGCACCACCCGGCAGAGCTTTCTGTGAGGATGGAGATTTCTGCATCAATCCTACCCCACAGCCACTACCGCCATGTGGGAGCGCTTCAGTACGGCTCGTGGGAGTCTAGATGGGAAGTGACTTCGGTTTAATTCATTTAAATGTAAATAGCCACCTGTGAGCAGGGGATTATTATTTATGACCACCACCGTGTCCCCAGCGCTTCAGTGTGCACACCTAGTGACCATACAATGACTAAGTGACCGAATCCATAAAATAAAGGCCTGACTGGTTCATCTGTAGATTCCAACCTTTGCCACAGAGGAAAGGAAAAAGTTTTTACTGCAAATGTCAGGCGGTCCTCAGTTCTCCTGAAGTGAGCCTGGCCTTTAAGAACCTGCTCTGTCTCAGAGGGAACACCGGATAAGGAGAAGGGACAGTGGATTGAATAAAACATCTGTAATACACTCAGGAAAGTGTCTACACCAGAGTAGGTGCTACAATGCGGGAGTCCATACACTTCAGTGCTACACAGAGGAGAAATTATCAGGGGTGTGGGAAAATTGGTGAAGGCTTCATAAAGCCTTTAATCCACATTTTAAGGAATAATTAAGGGGGAATAATGGGAGTGGGAAGAATGCCTAAGAAATCCTCAGTCCTTGGTATGTGCCAGTCATAAACTTAGGTCTTTCCATGACTAGTTTAATCCTCACAACAATCCAAAGAGGCAGAGCTGATGCTTTCACCCACTATACAAGTGGAAACACTGAGGTATAAAGAGTGCAAGTGCCTTGCCCATGGTCACCCAGTCATAAATGGCACAGCTGGGTGACCGAGCCTCGGTTTTTGCCACAGTCAGTGCTGTTCTAGCTCTTGAGCACAACATCTCGATGCGGCAGCAGGAGACAAATGTGCATCCTTTGCTGGGGCTTACTCAGAGGGCTTAGGAAAGGATAGAGAAAGACTGGATTCAGCCTGGGCTTCCCAGGGCAAGGAACGTCTTGAGGCAGGAGATCAGGGCGAGGTAAACTGGCTGGGGAAGTGGGCGTGACCTGTTAATTAGGAGATCCAGGACACATGCGCAGAGCCCTGAACATGAACATGAACTCTCTCGAGAACCTGAGCAAGTTTCCAATAGGACGCCTACCTGAGGTCCACCTGAAACCTGGGATCCCAGTGCTTTTCCCTCTTTCACTCAGCCCAAGCTTGCTCTGCAGAGCCAGTTTTTCCCTCACTCTTCGCTTTTACTTTTTCAGATAAACTTTCCCACTGTTTTTTGCTCGTTTCATTCAATTCTTTCTTCAAAACAAGAAAAGCCTGGAATCTTACTCCCAAAGGAGATACAAGCAACCCAGAACCCCACAACATTTAATTGGCCAGCCACTTGAAGGAGGAGCTGCCTGATAACATTTTGGTTTTCCCATATATTCTCAGTGAGTCCTAGCATTGTACTTGTGCTGTCATTATTAAAACTGACATTTCAGGAAGTGAAGAATCTTGCCAAAGCAAGTGAGTGTTGGAGTTCAAAAAAATGTTGGGATAAAAATCCAGGATGCCACCGGGCACGGTGGTGCACTCTTGCAATCCCAGCACCCAGGAGGCTGAAGCAGGAGGATTGCTGTGAGTTCTGGGGCAGCCTGAGCTACATAGTGAGACTCTATCCCTCCAAAAACCAAAAAAACAACAACAACCCAAGATGCCTACATCTAAATCCATAGTTTGTTATACAGTTAAATAACAGGGAGATGCACGCTAAAAAAAGGTACAAAAAAATACAACTTCCTGACAAGGCCCAGGGAAGGGCTCTCCTCAGAACATCCACGCTAGAAACAAATCCCAAGAAGACTTCTGTCACTAGATGCAGACCGGCCACTCCTGTGCTTCTCATGCCCAGGTACATGAATGCCATCCTGTTCCTCTGTGCCACCCAAAGGGTCACTCGCTGAGCACGTGGGAGCTGGGAGTG